AAAAGGCAAACAAAGAAATAAATAAAGGGGTATGGAAGGCGGGTGAAAAATAAAACTAAGAGGAAGTAGATAATGGAAAGGTTTTAACCAATTATTTTAGTTGGCCGTCAATACAACAGTCAACCCTATTCACCGTAGAAATTTATTGACACTTGCTTATATAGATGTCACATATTTTGTTACATGTAGTTAGTAGAAGTTTGTTTAGTACCCCGTAAATCTACAAAATGAGTTTATAAATTCCCTCTTGCAATATTTTAGAGTCGTCTCTCTTTTATAATTTATTTAATATTTCACGTAATGAGCAAATATGAAATGACCGAATCTTCTCCTAAAGTTGAGTGATACAACATCTTGTATAGTACAAACTAAATCTATACTTTTATGTATGGTGGATTCAAGTAAAATCTAAACATTGGACTAATATGTAAATTCAAAAAATTGTAAGACAAAAATCTCATAAAAATTTGATACCAAAGCATAATTGTTCAATGATTTTACATTAAAAATTAAATTTTGGGTATCAAAATGTTAAATATACATTATAGTGACTAAGTTGTGATAATTAAATTTGAGATATCAAAATGTAAAGTACCCTTACTTCAGATTTATATATATTAATTGGTGGAGAGCAGTGTTAGCCAAGAAAAACCATGTAGCTTTGAATAGAGTTGGTCAACAGTTATAATTTATTTCTTTGAATACCAACTCTAATTGCTCGTTCAAAAATACCGACCTTTCGATACCTGGAGGAGAAATTGCTCGAAAAACAACAAGGGTGGAAGCGGCGTCCATTATCTTGGGCAACTAAGGAAACTCTTATCAAATCCATCGCATTAGCATTGCCTCTCAATGTAATGTCTTGCTTCAAGCTGCCTTTGTCCCTTTGTAGATTGCTTGACAAACATGTCGCCAGATTCTGGTGGGGTGGGACGAATGATCAGACACGAATCAGCTGGGTCTCCTGGTGTAATATGTGTCGTAGCAAACATGATGGGGGGATGGGGTTCTGCCGATTTGAACAGTTTAACTAGGCTTTACTGGCTAAAATTGGGTGGCGCATCCTCAATGAACCCACCTCCCTGCTGGGGCAGGTATATAAAGGTAAATATTTTCCGGCTGGGAGCTTTCTGCAAGCCACTACACGCTCTAGGCCTTTATGGGGCTGGCAAAGTGTGCTGTTTGGGAGAGAATTGCTTAAGAAGGGCCTTCGGTGGCAGATTGGGAACGGAAAAACTGTATCTCTTCTATGTTCGAATTGGATTCCACAAGTCCACCCTGACCTTCCGGTGGCTAACCCACAGGTTCTTCCGGTGGGGGGTGATCCTCGAGTGGAGGAGGTTCTGGATCCAAATGGGGGTGGTTGGTGCGATGCCAAGCTGGGCCAGTGGTTTGATCCCCCAACTTGCCGTCGTATCAAAGTTATTCCTTTGCCGAGATACTCTGTGGAGGACAAACTTATTTGGCATGGTACGGCTGACGACACGTTTACTGTTAAGTCAGCCTATCATCTAGTTGTTGATCTGGATAGAAGAAATGGCCTTTGGAGGTCTATGGTCAGCTGGATGGATAAAGCTAGCTGGATTAGACTCTGGGAGGCCGACATCCCTCCCAAGTTGAAGGTGTTTGTCTGGCAGATCTTTCAACGCATCCTACGGACTACGGAAGCACTAATTGATAAACGGGTTCCTGTTCTCCCTCGTTGTCCGGTCTGTTGGGGGGCTTCGGAAACGATGGAGTATTTGTTCTTAGACTGTCCGGTGGCCCGAGCTCTATGGGACTACTTGGGAATGGAGCATCTGGGGCAAGGCTTGCCCCGCCACACTTTTCCTCTCTTCCTCAAGAGGCTGTTAAACATAATTCAACAGCCCTTAGTTTTTCTGTCGGTGGTGGCCATTCTCTGGCGGATTTGGAAGTCTCGGAATTGGGTTGTCTTTGAAGGTAAGCAGTTTGGATTCCCGACCTTGATGCGCCAGTATCACCAGCAGTGTGAAGAATGGGAGAGTGTGATGGGTACCAAGATGTCGCAGGGTATGCCTCTAGTTGCTCCCATAACAAATCATCAGGCTTTGATTCCTTCGATGGTTTGTATGTGGGATGGTGCTACACGGGCGGGGTCTCACTCGAGTGCTGGGATGGTTTTGCTTGATACGCATCGTGAGCTTCTTTTGGCTCAAGGATGCCAGTTCCCTTCGATTGATGATCCATTTGGTAGCGGAAGCTCTTGCTCTCAGGGAAGCTCTTTATTGGTGTGTGCACCTTGGTCTCCAGAGTGTTTTGTTTGAAGGCGGCGCCAAAGTCATTATTGACAAAGTTAACCACGCCGAGACTAGGGATAGTAGGGTTGGGGTGGTTGACTCACTTCTATTGTCACCCTAGGAATTGGCCAAGTGAAACCACTTCCTAAAGCGTAGTATAGCGGGTTTGGGTTTAAATATCAACCCGGGTCCTAGATTTGATGACTACTCGGTGAGTTCTTGTTATCTAGCAATGAAACTTTAATGCAAGTCTAAACTAACAAACTAACAAAGCAAGTAAACGGTTGTATTCAGGTTAAGAGAGGTCACCCGGATATGGTTCCCCCTAGACTGCAGTTAAGCCGGATTGTAATTACCAAGTTCAGTTTCTATGATAGTTATACTGCGGAAGGTTCTTAAACAGCCTGAAGTCTCGACTAAAGGTCTTCAGACCCTCTCAATCAGAGTCTCTAGCGGGCGACTAACCTCCACCAGAGTAAACAGATTGAGGCCTTAACAAACAAAACCTCCACTACCGGAGTGAATCCGGTACTGAATAGTGAGTTGGCTCCTCGACTAAAGTCACCAACTCCCTACCTTTAATCAAGGATGCTCTATCAACCTAGGCAGATATTCTCATTCTAGGTCAAAGTAGAAACAACAAGAATTTGATCAGGATTCATGTCATTCAATCATTCAAACCTCAATCGAATATAATCAACTCATAGAATCAGTACTTGGGTTCATACAATCAGACCTAACATAAAAATCTAGGGTTCTCCATACCCAGATGAATGGGAGAACTACTCCATGGAGAAAGAAGCAAAATCAGAATCAGACGCGGAATTCATACTGTGAAGGATGGATTCCTGCTTCTGGACGTTGATCGGCACTTCTCCAAGCTCAAGCCAAGCTCCAATGGTGATGAAGATCAAGCTAGGGCACTTGGAGACTCTTGTTCTTCGCTTTCTCTCTCTAGGAATCGTTCTATCTCTCTCAAACTCGAATCCCCTTCTCTTTTGGCTGAAATCTGCTTAAAAGGGCATCACTAGGCAAAGCACGGTCGAGGGCACGGCCGTGCTTTGCTCCAGCCCGCCCATGCTTTGGCTAGGGTTAATTACACGGCCAGCCTGTTGGGAGAAACACGGCCGTGCTTTTGGGTGGACACGGTCGTGCTTTGGTGGACACGGCCGTGTAATTTCTCAGCCCTGCCCGTGTTTGCAGCTCGTTTTTGCCAAACTCAAATCAGCTCTCGGCAGTAAAAGCACGGCCTAGGAACACGGCCGTGCTCTGCTTTAGGTGTGCACGTGTTTGGCTCCAACTCCACCGAATGACTTCCGAATGCCCCGAAACTCGTGCTTAGCCTTTCCTTTGACGCCTGGGACCTGAAATATGACAAAATAGCACAACCCGGCGTAAAATAGGCCAAAAATACACGACTATGCCCCTCAAACGGATAAGAACTAGGGGTGCAAACACGTGCAATTATATCATTATCAAATTCCCCCACACTTAACTGTTTGCTTGTCCCCAAGCAAACCTAACTCAAACCAATGCAACTCTCCAGACCTCTATAGCAACAAACAACCCAGATCGTAGATAGAGGACTTCCTAGATCATTTAGCAGCTTACGAGGTCAACCGAAGCACAAGTCATCTCATAGCTTCTTCGGCGAGAGCACTAGTCTCGAGTCGGCATCATGGCAAATAGTGAACAGAGGATAAATGAATTGTGGATGAAGAGATTCTCAAAAACAAAGAATCATGGACTCACATTTTTCAAGGTGCTCTATTTTCTTCTTGAAGATGGTTGAAACCCCTTTTCTTTCTGTTTTGCTTGTTTTCTGTTATTTTTTTTTTCAAGGGTCCCAACCTGCTTTTCAGAAAATGGGGGCTCCCACCTAGCAGAGGTTTTGCGGGAGCCCGGCTCTTACCGTTCATGCCAGGAGCGGATGTCTTGAGCCTCGTGCGGGGGAAAGACATGTAAGGGGGCTGGAGGTAGTAGGTGGAAATTGGGAACGAATTCCCGTCTCCCCTTACACACTTTCGCCCTATTCGCACGGGAGACGTTATTTTGAAGCACATTTTCGAGCACCTATTAAACTCAAAACATGAAACAAGAGTCCATGACAGGTAGAGAGTCCACAACACCACACAATTCAAGGGTCCTAAGATCACTAATTCACTCAATCAACCAACACAATATGAAGAAGAAATGAGACTTCTTAAATGCATAAACATCCTCCATATTGCTACACTACCTCCCTAGGTTGCATATTACTATAAAGACTGTCAATTCATAGCATACTGAGCAGGCAATTGCAAGGAACACGTACTTGGAGCCCTCAAATTTAAAAATTTGGACAGTGGACTAGGCTCCAAGCACACAAACAGATCTAATGCAGTCAAAAGATAAACATCCCCCCACACTTAAGATCGACATTGCCCTCAATGGATAAGAGGGAAGGGAAAGGGGAACGATATTACCGGTATGCACGGACTGCAGGAGACTGGAAGCGGACCAGTCGAAGTGAAGTGGACTGGATAGAGGACCAGTCAAGACAAGCACAGCTAAAGGAAACCAAAGAGCTCAAACACAATATGTTAGGTCCAATGGTCAGCCCAATAATACATCATCCAAAACAAACCAAAATAAACCAAAACCAAAGACTCAAAACACAAGAAAGAAAGTCAAACCGTTGTGGGGTTGCCTCCCCACAAGCGCTTCTTTACCGTCATTTAGCTGGACGCCCATGGTGGATACTCAGGGAAGTGAAGGAACAGGTGCCTCCAAGAGCGGATCCACGTCGCTCTTGAGGTACAGCTTCAGGTTGTGGCCATGCACCCGACGGATGCGACCACCATCATCGGTCAGCTCGACCTGGCCATCCGGCAAGATGCAGGCGAGTGAGTACCCGGATGGCCAGGGTTGTCGTGGTGCAGGAGGTGGGACCAGCTCGTAGTGGTCTCCACCCTTCTTCCATGCAGGCTTGGCAACCTGCTGCTTCGGCCGCCACTCCTCCTTGATCTTTTTGTTTGGAGGCGAGGCTGGATGGAGTGGCGGCGAAGGAATGATAGGAGGGTCCTGCAAAATGAGAGGTGCAGAAGGATACACGACAGGCTCGTGTACCTGATCAGAAAGGGCATGCACAGGTGTGACAGCAATCATAGCACAGTGATCAAATTCAGTCACAGAAAAAACAGCCTGTTCATTGCCAGCACGCATGATCAGTTTACCATCATGCACATCAATAAGTGCCTTGGCGGTGGCAAGAAATGGTCTCCCCAGAATCAAAGGCACATCCACATCCTCATGTATATCAAGAATAACAAAATCAACAGGATATGTGAATGCACCTACATTAACAAGCAGATCCTCTATGATCGCCCTAGGATGCACAATGGAACGATCAGCTAGCTGAATGCTCATCCTAGTAGGGCTAAGTTCACCTAGGTCTAGCTTTTTGTACAACTTATATGGCATGACATTTATACTAGCGCCTAGGTCCGCGAAGGACTTGCCTACATGCATGCTGCTAATAGTAAGAGGGATAGTAAAACTCCCTGGATCCTTGCGCTTCTTGGGCAGCTTGTTCTGTAGGATAGCAGAACACTCCTCGCTCAGCAACACTGTCGAGAGATCCCCAAGTTTCTTCTTGTTGGTGAGGAGATCTTTCATGAACTTCGCGTACTTGGGCATCTTCGACAGTGCCTCCACAAACGGTATGCTGATGTTGAGCTGCTTCAAAATTGCCATAAAATTGGCAAACTCAGTCTCCAACTTGTCTTTGTGTAGGCGAGTGGGGAAGGGAAGCTGGGGTACATGCTCCTTAACCACTGGTTGTGGCTTGGGAGCAGGGGCTTCCTTCTCCACCCGCACTGCTGCATCGTCGGCTGGAAGTGCTGAAACAGGTAGTGGTTCCTCCTGCTTGGCCGGGACAGGATCAGCAGATATGGTCATACCGCTCATGGTAAAAATGGCATCCAGCTGCTGAAGCTGGTGAGGATCACGAGGATTCGGAACAGTGGTGGCAGGTAGAATCCCCGGTGCCCTGGCGGTGTTTTGGCGGGCCAAGATGCCCACCTGGGTCTGCAGATCTTGCAAAATGGCACCCTGGTTCCGCTGACCTGCCTCCAGTGACGTGATAACAGCCTGAGTGCTAGTCATGAATGAAGCTAGAATATTTTCAGCTTTGTCATCCGGTCATCTGGGGCAGGGGCTGCTGCTGGCTCGACAAACTGACGCTGGGGCTGTTGGAATGGTTGCCCCTGCCTAGGCTGGTAGGGCTGCTGTTGTGGGGCTGGCCCCTGTCGAGCCTAGAAGGGCTGCCTCTGCTGAAAACCACCTGCTGGTGCTGGGAAACCAGGTGGTTTAGTGGTGTTGCTGCTCCAGACGAAGTTGGGATGCTAGCGCCACCCCTCATTATATGTGTTGCTGTACGGGTCGAGACGCCGAGCATTGGCGATGAAGTCCAACTGCTCTTGGGGAGTAGTAGACTCCCTCATAGCCTGGCAGTCCTCCACTAGGTGATTGGAGCTCTCGCACCACTGACATTGAGCTACTGGAGGTGTAGCCAAACCTCTGCCCGGAATCAGACTGTTGGGCTGCTTCAATGTCTGCACTAGCTCAGCTACCTGCTGCTCGAGCCCGGATCTAGTCTTCATGGCGTGCACACTACGGTCCCGGGACTGTCTGCCTCGGCTACTCTGTCCCGAGGAATGATCTCTGGCAGCCAAAGTACTGATCATCTGGTTCAGCTCGGGTGGAGTCTTAGTAAGAATATCCCCTCCTGGGCATAGAGACTCAATCACCCTCTGGCTATCTAGGGAGAGAGCGCTGTAGAAGTTCCCCACTGTGAATGCATCACTAAAGCCATGATGGGGACACTGCCAGAAATATCCCATGTACCGCTCCCATGCATCACGGAGTGACTCATCTGGCTCTTGGCGGAAGTGGGTGATCTCCCGCTGGATCTCTGTAGTCTTCGATGCCGGATAGTACCTGTGCACGAATTTGTCAGCCAGATCGTCCCAAGAGGTGATAGACAATGGGGGCTGGGTCTCCAACCACCTCTTAGCATTCCCCGCCATAGAATGGGGGAAGAGATGAAGGCGGATTGCATCATCAGGGACACCATTCAGCTTGAACCCGTTCGTCAGCTGCAGAAAACGGGAAAGATGTACCCTGGCCTCCTCATCCTTCAAGCCATGGAACTGGATAGAGGATGTGATGAGCTGAATCCAGCATGGCTTGATCTCGAAGTTGTTTGCTGGAATAGGCGGGTAGAGGATGACCAGGCGGATGTCAGGAATCCGCGGAGTGTAGTAGTACTCCAATGTGGGACCCGACGGCGGGTGCTGATGATGAACCCCATGATCCTGTGGTATGGGGTTGTTCCCCAGGACCTGATTCACCGGGGGAGCCTGCTGAGGATTCCCCTGGTGTTGATTGTAATCTCTGTCCATCCTGTACTCTTCCTCAGAATCGCTGCTTAGGTGGCCGTCTATGCGCTCCTCCGTAGCCAGTCTAGCTCGATGTTGTCTCCTGAGTTGGCGACAGGTGCGGTTAATCTCTCGATTCAACGGCAGTAAACCTCCCGACTGGCTACGGGTCATGCACTACCTGCACACACTTAAACAAACCAACCCGTGAAGGCACAAGTGGGACAAAGCAAACAAAGCGAAAAGAAAAGCTAAATTAACAGAAATCACTGTTCTTCAACAACCTAGCCGTCCCCGGCAACGGCGCCAAAAACTTTACTCACTTCTACTGTCACCCTAGGAATTGGCCATGTGAAACCACTTCCTAAAGCGTAGTATAGCGGGTTTGGGTTTAAATGTCAACCCGGGTCCTAGATTTGATGACTACTCGATGAGTTCTTGTTATCTAGCAATGAAGCTTTAATGCAAGTCTAAACTAACAAACTAACAAAGCAAGTAAACGGTTGTATTCAGGTTAAGAGAGGTCACCCGGATATGGTTCCCCCTAGACTGCAGTTAAGCCGGATTGTAATTACCAAGTTCAGTTTCTATGATAGTGTAACACCCTACCCTATACGTTTTGCCTAATGATATTGTTCATACAATTGCAGCGGAATTAATCTCGGGTGTTACATTAATTACCAAAAATTTACCCAAATAAAATTTCGACATGAATTACTCGCGTAATGGGCTAACAGTTCTTGTAACTAAAACCTGCAAAATAATTTATCCGAATCCATGCATTTAATGACAAACATATATACTCATAACCATACGCATTGGCTTTTCATAGCCATAGTCACAGTTTCCTACTACACAACTGCATACTATACTGATACATGCTATAATTATCACTACTTACATAATTAAACAATATACACATATCATCAACTTTCCACACCTGTGGATATCTCACACTACATTCTAAGCTAGTATGCACATGAAAATGTTCTCAAAACATTTTTACAAAAAGGTGTGGATCACTGGCCAAAATCCCAAGTAGTCGTCCAAGCACAGAATAGTTGAAGACCATACCTCATCTTGGCTTCAACTCTAGCTCCTCTCCCACCTAACACTTATCTACTGCTGATGATGATCTGCTTACACATAGCATAAGCAGAGAACAAGAATAAAAGAGGGTCAGCTCATAGCTGAGTGAGACAATCATTGCATCGTGAGTTCATAACAGAGCATACCCCTACCATACATCTAGCAAACAAGCCAAAGCACTAGGATCAGATCTCAGCCCTCCGACATCCCAATAGGCAAAAGACTCAACCACATTGACTTATGCATATGCATCTTATCATGTTTTACTTATAGGCGCCTGGCTACTCCCATGCTAATAACTCTCCCGGGAAACATACCCCACATCCCGTCGGATGTAGTCATGCATACCCCAACATCCCGTCGGATGTGGTCATACATACCCCACACCACTATGGGTGTAGTCATACCCCGACACCGCTCTGGGTGTGGTCATATCTCGTAAGAATTCTTCAGTCACCACCACATGAGAGGTGTGACTATCATACATATCATAATAGAGTAATAGCATAGGGAGCCCTAATTACTATGTAGTTGACCGTGAGACCACAACACTCATATTTGGTATCCTTGTACATGATTCATATCTCATCTTGCTTAATCATAATTCATTACTTACACATGTACTTGAGCAGGCCATAATTGGCTCAACATAGGTAAATTAGGAGTCGTATAATTGCACTTCCTCGGGATAAACCCTCGTGCAAGTCATCCTCCTTAAAACATCATATATCACCTTGGGAACTTCATTCCCCCACTTATGGATCCAAATACAACCATAATATCACACCATGTCAAAGACCCTTATCGAACAACCATAAAGTCATATCAACAGTTAAGCCACAAATGGCAACATGTATGCAATCATCAACATAAACAAGGTTCATATCGGCTAGGGCAAGTCAATAATATCATACAACAATCCATGGTTCATCATATAGCATAAAAGTCCATACACCCCTAATCATGCCATTCTAGTTCACCTAGGTCAATTCTAAGCATCAATATAATTATCGTGATACGACAAACCCGATATGCCGTGCTAATCCCTCACCAGTTCTGGTCGTTCAAACACTGGTTTTAGCCTCCCGTACTAAAACATCAATTTCACGAACGAACCCCGAATTAAAATCCGAGACCGTCCTAATATCCCCTGCAGTATCCCCGTCAATATTAGTTCTAGGCTCCGGGTCAAATTCTTGGTAAAAACACATCAAACCCTGGCCGGAGCTAAATTCAGCGATTAGGACCCCGACCTAAATAATTGCCGAAATTCAGAGATTAGAACTAGAGGATTGATTACCTCGCTGCAAGAAGCTTGAATATGAAATTTGGGCTTAATCCGGCTTCCGGATACTCCGAAACCCTAATTTGGCTTATCGGGAATTCAAGAAATTCCTGATCCAAAAACTCGTTTTAAAGCTCTAAATCGATAAATCACGATGTATAGATGAATTAGGCATTACTTACGGGATTTTTGGATCACTAGAGCTCAAGATTTGAGCTGTGAAATTTTTCCCCAGGCGCTCCGTGCGCGGCTCTGCTTCTCTACTATCTCTCGACCGAAATGAAAGAAGAAGAAAATGGAATTACAATGGAAGACCGCTTACTAATATATATATATATATATATATATATATATATATATATAATTAATACGTATACTTATCCGATCGATCGATAAACCGATTTTTGCCGAAATACTATCAAAACGCTTGATTTTAAATCGCGAACTTTCTAGCGATCGAAATATGGGTTTAGCCGAAATGGGATGTTACAGATAGTTATACTGCGGAAGGTTCTTAAACAGCCTGAAGTCTCGACTAAAGGTCTTCAGACCCTCTCAATCTGAGTCTCTAGCGGGCGACTACCTCCACCGGAGTAAACAGATTGAGGCCTTAACAAACAAAACCTCCACTACCGGAGTGAATGCGGTATAGAATAGTGAGTTGGCTCCTCGACTAAAGTCACCAACTCCCTACCTTCAATCAAGGATGCTCTATCAACCTAGGCAGATATTCTCATTATAGGTCAAAGCAGAAACAACAGGAATTTGATCAGGATTCATGTCATTCAATCATTCAAACCTCAATCGAATATAATCAACTCATAGAATCAGTACTTGGGTTCATACAATCAGACCTAACATACAAATCTAGGGTTCTCCATACCCAGATGAATGGGAGAACTACTCCATGGAGAAAGAAGCAAAAGCAGAATCAGACGCGGAATTCATACTGTGAAGGATGGATTCCTGCTTCTGGACGTTGATCGGCACTTCTCCAAGCTCAAGCCAAGCTCCAATGGTGATGAAGATCAAGCTAGGGCACTTGGAGACTCTTGTTCGTCGCTTTCTCTCTCTTGGAATGGTTCTATCTCTCTCAAACTTGAATCCCCTTATCTTTTGGCTGAAATCTGCTTAAAAGGGCATCACTGGGCAAAGCACGGTCGAGGGCACGGCCGTGCTTTGCTCCAGCCCGCCCGTGCTTTGGCTAGGGTTAATTACACGGCCAGCCTGTTGGGAGAAACACGGCCGTGCTTTTGGGTGGACACGACCGTGCTTTGGTGGACACGGCCGTGTAATTTCTCAGCCCTGCCCGTGTTTGCAGCTCGTTTTTGCCAAACTCAAATCAGCTCTCGGCAGTAAAAGCACGGCCTAGGAACACGGCCGTGCTCTGCTTTGGGTGTGCCCGTGTTTTGGCTCCAGCTCCACCGAATGACTTCCGAATGCCCCGAAACTCGTGCTTAGCCTTTCCTTTGACGCCTGGGACCTGAAATATGACAAAATAGCATAACCCGGCGTAAAATAGGCCAAAAATACACGACTATGCCCCTCAAACGGATAAGAACTAGGGGTGCAAACACGTGCAATATATCGTTATCAGTGGTTCTGGAAGAAATTGTGCAGTGTTTGCGGGAATCATGTGGGTTTTAGTATTCGATTCGTAGGTCGGGATAGCAATAGGGTAGCCCATGCGGTGACTAGAAAGGCCCTTACTTTGTATCCGGCTCCTTGTCGATTGTTTGATTTTCAGGTCTGGCTTCGATCCAGGATGTAACTATCTTATTTTGTTGAATCAACATATGATTATCTTTTATTAAAAAAAAGTTGGTCAACAGTTAACTTTGACACTCAAATCTCAACACAATACTTGAGGACACAAATGACTTAGAATCTCAATTGGACGTGAAATTTTGGCGTGTCAAAAACACGAGACACGATGACACAAATAGAAATTACAGACCCTTTGTTAGTATTATGCCTTAGATTAATTGATACGACCTAGATTTCAAGTAAGTACATCATTCATATATAAATTATGAAAATAAGTCAAATGAATGTTTATAATTATTTATGTAAGTTTTACGATGATTTGTACTATCTACAAACTCTTGCCCTATATCATACTGCTTTGTGGCACAATTTTCACCTGAGGAATAGGAGAGTAGATATTGGTTTCAGTAGTTTGTTAGTCTAACAGATTTGGGGATTGGATAGTCCTTCATATCTACAAACTCTTGCCCTATATCATACTGCTTTGTGGCACAATTTTCACATGAGGAATAGGAGAGTAGATATTGGTTTCAGTAGTTTGTTAGTCTAACAGATTTGGGGATTGGATAGTCCTTCATAGAACACACAAAATTTCATGCTTATTAACATGAAAATTTAGAATGATTAATTCACTAGACAAACATCTTGATGTTGATGCTTAATTAATGTGTGATAGTGCATGAGTTTGTGTTTGATTGGCAACAGAATCATCAGATGGAGATGACATTCATAAAATTTAGAATAGAATTAATGGTTTGCCGTTTTGAATTGCCACCACGTTATTTCAGTTTAGGGTAATCACAAACCGGCCATAAATAAAACCACAGGTCAGAGCACTTTGTTCTGTGGTACATTTCAATCAAGTGAAAATACATTTTATAGCTATTAAATCGCATCAAATGCACACATCCCACCTTAGAGTAAACTAGAAAACTAACAAAAAGTAAGGACTGGATGAGCACAAACCATTTGAGAATGGGTTCTTTCCCATCACAATTTCTGCCCACTTCTCCCACCAATAGTGATCATTCAGTTTATCTTATTTGTGAGCTTCTTTCTCAGTCCAACACTTAATTAGCTTCATATCTCTCCCACCTAGGTCGTAATAATTATAAATTGCTAACATAATTTCGGTTTCCCCTCAAGTGTGGAGGCATGTTGATGTTTTTGAGTAAGGTTACTACAGCTTGAAATCCTCTAGCCATGTACAATTCTTGTAATTGAGTTAATCTTGTAAAAAAAATGTACCAAACAGTAGTAGGAATAAGACTCCCACTCATCTTGGTGAAGTATCCCCTTGGCATGTTTAATTCTCACCAAAAATCCTCTTTGGCATTTTCTCATGAGTGTTCCACTCTTATGTGAATCATCAACCTCCAACATATCGAATTTAGTAGAAAATAAAGTTGCCTAAAAGGAGAAGGAAAGAGTTATTACTGATCTCCTTGTTTATCATTTCAATCTTGGCAATGCCAAGACCAACAAACTCTATCAAAAGCATCCACATAGGAGGAGAGGAGATTTAATGTAGTTATACAAACAATGGATTGTAACTACTTCCGTGATTACAACAAAGAAAAAGACATTAAACTAAGCTACCCATTCAATGGAGCTTGTCCATAGGGGAGGAAAAAGGGAACAACTAGTATATGATTTCTTTAATTTTCTATGTCTCAATCACTATTAACGTCAAATAATTATCATTTGACACCAATTACCAACAATTACCAACTAGATTATTTAATTTTCTCCAATATCACAAATACAAAAAAAGATCGATTATTAAAATCATAATGATTTATGTTCAATCAAAATTTATAACAATATTGGTTGTGTAGAAAACCAAACGCGGAAATAAACGAACACACAGATTTAACGTGGTTTCCCCGTTCAACGTGAACGAGACTACTCCACGGAGAGCAACAGCTCTCAAACAAAACTCCACTAGGTTTATTCTCCTATTACAGTTCGGCCAAGCCTCACACTAAGGCTTTATACAACGTGACCCATTCACAAGCAGCTAGGGTTACGTGGACAATTACTAGACCACTACACCAAGAATGGAATATGTACAAGTAAGGACAACAGCTCATACAACTCGCAATATTCCTCCTCAAGCGGAGGCATGAATGTCATGAAGGCCAAGCTTGGAAGAGAGAAGAGCGAACTGATCAGCGCCAAGCCCTTTCGTAAACACATCGGCGAGTTGGTGAGTGGTAGAAATCTTGCAGGGAGCGACCTCATCACTGGCGACGCGCTCCCGAACAAAGTAGCAATCCATCTCCACATGCTTCGTGCGCTCATGGAAGACTGGATTGGCTGCAATGTGGAGAGCAGCCTGATTATCGCAATACAACGGAGTCGCGCTCCGAATTGCGACACGAAGCTCACGCAAGAGCCACCTCAACCAAATGACCTCACTAACGGCATTGGCCATAGCACGATACTCTGCCTCAGCAGAGGAGCGAGCGACAACAGGCTGCTTCTTGGTTCGCCAGGAAATGGGGCTGCCACCTAACTCCATGAAGTAACCAGTGGTGGAACGCCTAGTCTGCTGACACCCTGCCCAATCTGCATCACAATAAGCAGTGAGGGTAAGACTGCCAGTAGCTGGAAAGAATATACCTTTACCTGGCAAACTCTTCAAGTATCGCAGAACACGGTTAGCAGCATCAACATGGCACTGCCGCGGAGAATGGACCGCCTCACTCAATATGTTGACTGCATATGTAAGATCAGGCCGAGTAACAGTAAGATACAGGAGGCGCCCAACCAGTCGGCGATACGACTTAGGATCAGCAGCCACTGGTCCTTCTATGCGGGTGAGGTGGTGGTTCTGCTCAATAGGGAACGCACACGGACGAACCCCCAAATTCCCAGTATCCGCAAGGATGTCAAGGGCGTACTTCTGCTGGGAAAGGAAGATTCCCTTAGGAGACCGAGCAACTTCTATACCAAGAAAATACTTCAACGGCCCGAGATCCTTGATGCTGAAGCTGCGATCAAGAAGCTATTTAACCTGGGCAATGAACTCGAGATCATCCCCGCCAAGGATCACGTCGTCAACATAGATAAGAGCAAAAGTGAAATGACGGCCATGTTGACGAGTGAACAAGGAATGATCGGCTTTCGATGCTTGAAATCCAATCGACTGGAGAGCAGTAGTGAATTTCTTGTACCAGTTTCTCGAAGCCTGCTTCAACCCATACAACGATTTTCGTAGCCGGCAAACTCGAGGATCACCAGGAGTGGCAAAACCCTGCGGGACACGCATATAAACCTCCTCATCTAGGTCACCATGAAGAAATGCGTTGTTGACATCGAGCTGGTGAAGATGCCAACCCCGCTGAGCTGCAACTGCAAGAACACATCGAACCATAACCAACTTGGCTACAGGAGCAAAAGTGTCATGGAAGTCGATACCTTCGACCTGTGTGAAGCCCTTGGCTACAAGACGAGCCTTGTAGCGCTCAATGGAACCATCAGGCCTATACTTGATCTTAAACACCCATTTCGCATCGACGATGCGTTTACCGGACGGTGGATGACGTAGATCCCACGTTCCATGCGCTTCTAGAGCAGCAATTTCTTTTTGCATAGCTTCACGCCACCAAGGGTAGCGAACGGCCTCACTGAAACTCCGGGGCTCGCGATGACGATCAATAGCTGCCAAGAAGGCACAGTAATTAGGGGATAAACGATGAGAGCTAACAACCTCGGACAAGGGATGGGTTACAGTAGGAACTGAACAACATTGTGAGGAAGGGAACTTGACCTCATAATTGTCCACCAAGAATCCAGGTGGACGACGAACACGATCACCACGCCGAACGGCAGGGGGCGAAACGGGATCCGCCACGGCAGGTGAAGCTGGAGAAGGACTGGGTCCAACATCGGTCGGAGGGGGCTTGGATGAGGGAGTGATCAGCGACGGCTCCGGAGAGGACGGCTCCGCTGCCGGCGAAGGCGGAGAGAGCTCCACGGCTGGGGGGGAATCTTCAATGGAAAGCATGTCGGCAGCCGGGGTAGGGACTTCCTCATGCATGCCATGCAGAGGTGCGGACGTGGGAGTGGAGAGCAATGGAAGCGCCTGGAAGGGAAACTTCTCCTCCTGAAACACGACATCTCGACTGGTGAAACAACGACGAGTACGGAGATTAAAAAGACGATAGCCCTTCTGGCCATCGGGATACCCGATAAATACACATTCGCGACCGCGCTCGTCAAATTTGTCTAGGTGATGACGAGTGTCTTTGGCAAACGCCAGGCACCCAAAAGTGCGTAGATGCACATAAGACGGCGGACGACCATGCAAGCTCTCATACGGTGACTTGTGATGAGCAAGAGAAGAAGGTAAGCGGTTGATGAGATAGACAGCAGTTAAGACACATTCTCCCCAAAACTTAAGAGGTAAGTGAGCTTGAAAACAAAGAGCACGAGCCGTCTCGAGAATATGACGGTGTTTGCGCTCAACAATGCCATTCTGTTGCGGCGTATCAACACAGGACGTCTGAAGTAAAATACCCTCACGTGCATAATAATCACGAAGCTGAACTGTCTGAAACTCAAGGCCATTATCAGCTTGGATGCGCTTAACCGAGGCCCCAAACTGGCGTTGAACCTGTTGACAAAACAACTCAAGATATTTCCCAACCGCAGACTTGAATTTCATCAAATAAACCCACGTACCACGTGTAAAATCATCCACAATCGTCAAAAAATAGTGAGCACCGCTCAACGAGGCTACCCTGTAGCCACCCCAAATATCCACATGAATTAATTCGAAAGCCTGACTGCTACGAAGAGAATTACTCAACGGAAATGGAGTTCTGGACTGTTTTGCTCTCAAACATGAAGAGCAAGAATCTGTTCTTAACTGACTATTACTAGAAATAAAATGCATCCGATTTAGCTTCTCCGGGGAGGGATGCCCAAGACGAGAATGCCATAGTTTGACTGTCTCCTCTGCCTGCGTCGCACACACCATAGCCTGACGAACTGAATCAAAAAGACGCAAGTAGTAGAGACCGTCACGCTCCTTACTCATCCCAATCAGATTCTTGGAGTGTAAGTCCTGAATAAAACAGAAATCCCCCAAGAAAATCAACGCAGAGGAAAGTGTTTAGTGAGCTGGCTAACCGAAAGCAGATTGCATTTAAATTCCGGAACAAGTAACACCCGAGGCAATATCAACCCATTGCCCAACCGAACAGAACCAACACGACGAACATCAATTGCACCCCCATCCGGGACGCGAACAGCAAGCCCAGGCTCACGAAACTAGTAAGTAATAAATTTGCATCTTTGGTAATGTGCTGGTTACAGCCAGTGTCAATTACCCATTCGGCAGCAGAGGAAGAAGAAGTACCTGTCATCTTGCCAACTTCATCAAGTTGACTCTTTGAATCTTCACTAAGGAAGCTCTTAAGACTCTCAAACTGCTGAATTGTGAGACCATGAATAGGGCTTTCAGTGACAACAACCTTGGCCGCCTTAGGCCCATTACGAGGACGCTCCGGGGGCTTCTTGCGGTTACCTCTGTCGGCCTTGGAACCAGATTTTTCAGGCCAGCCAATTAGATCGAAACAACGATCCTTAGAATGCCCCTGTTTACCACAGTGGCTACAGCGCGGCTTGTCACCAGAACCAGCTGGTCCGCGCCCTTGTTCGTCCTGAGTGAAGAAGGCGGCTGCCTCTGGAGAGGGACGATTGCTAGCAGCGATGCAGCGCTGATGATAATCATTCGAGACGAGCTGATAAGCTTCCGAAAGTGTAGGCATCTTCGGCATTGAAAGAACCTGAGTCTTAACCGTGGAAAACGACTCATCTAACCCCATGAGGAAATCATAGAGCCGAAATTGCTCCTCTCGCTCTTGGTTCTTTTGTTGATGCCCACAAGTACACAACCCACACGAACACGTATGGAGGGGAGCCATGGTTTGAAGTTCCTCCCAAAACGCACGAAGTCTTGTGTAGAACTCCGATACAGACAACTTTTCTTGTGACAAACGGCTGATGGAGCGCCGAACCTCATAAACGCGCGGATGGCTCCCTTGCTCAAACCGCTCTTGCAAGTCAACCCACACCTCGCGAGCTGTCTTGGCGTGTCGCATAACGCGATGAACTTGTTTATCAACGGCGGTAGTTAACCATCCTTTTACCATAGCATCCGCACGACGATAGGCACACAATTTTCCCGGATCAGTGGGATCCTTGAGTGACCCATCCACGAACCCTAGCTTGTTCTTTGCTAGGAGAGACGTGGCCATCTCGTAAACCCAGTCAGCATAGTTGTTCTCGTTGAGAAGCTTGCCAACATACAGCTGACTGGGGTTATCAGATTGACTCAAGAAGTATGGGGATGCAGGATCAGTCTCATACCCGCCGCCGTTACCACCGCCATCACTGCCAGAGGTAGGAGACGAATAACTAGAGAGTGTACTCATCGTTGCACAACGCAAACGAGGATCTTGTCACAGTTCTGATACCATGTAGAAAACCAAACGCGGAAATAAACGAACACACAGATTTAACGTGGTTTCCCCGTTCAACGTGAACGAGACTACTCCATGGAGAGCAACAGCTCTCAAACAAAACTCCACTAGGTTTATTCTCCTATTACAGTTCGGCCAAGCCTCACACTAAGGCTTTATACAACGTGACCCATTCACAAGCAGCTAGGGTTACGTGGACAATTACTAGACCACTACACCAAGAATGGAATATGTACAAGTAAGGACAACAGCTCATACAACTCGCAATAGGTTGTGCAGTGTGATTTATATGCCTTGGAGTCATGCAAATTGTAATCTGAATTGGTCATCCCGTTGGCATGCTTTTATAGAGGCAAGCACTATAGTGGGTTTTTTCTGTTTACAATCAAAACACAAAATAGTGGTTCGATTAGAAACAAAATTGATGTTTCACAAAAAAAGGTAAATACAATTTACTATCCAAACCTTTTATTTTAAACAATATAATAGCCAAACCTTTTCGAAAACAATCTAATATCCAAATCGTCAACTTTCTATTTGTTTGACCGTTAGTTGACACTTCAAAAAAGTTCGAAGTACGACACTTCATCAATATCCATCGATATCCTCTCTGAAAAACCACCAACATATCGTAGTTCCAAACCCGAGAAGTCCATGACTCCACCATGATGGTATAGAATATCAGATATGGAGTACTAGCCAGTAGCCACATCTATTCTTAAAGGCTGTCTCAACTCTCAATTTTTCACCTCAAAGCTAGCTTACTCCTCTAAGTTTCAGTAGTCAAATTCTAGTTGGATCAAAGAGAATTGACCACTTAATAAACTAAAAGTTTATCATACTTATCATCCAAGAAATATTATTTACATATATAATAAGGACATTATTATTTATTTATTTTGGCAAAAGATAATCTTATATTGATCCCAAAGAAAAAATAGTTACATCCTGGAAATCAGCCAGGTCTGATAATTAAAGACACGACTCATGGTCGGGTACAAAGAGAGGGCTTTCCTAGCCATCAGATGGGCTACCCTATTACTATGCCGACCTACAAATCGAACCCTAAAACCAGGATGGATGCGAAAATAATGCACGGCTTCTTCCATAACAGCACCCACCCGATTGTCTCTGGCGTCACCCTGATTGATTTTATCAATGGAATTTATTATAGCAACAATATTGTGGTGAATAGTGAAGATCTTTCTTCTTTCTTCAACTGCAAGAAATTTATCTACAGTTGAAGATTAATATAGTTACAACCTCTTCCTTCTTGGATATTGACTTTTTACCGTAACTTACATTTGATAAATATTTGAGGCAAGACACTACATTGTATTACCTAAAACCCTAAACATATCGTCGGCTTTAATTATTACTTAATTGGACAATTTCCTGTTAAGTATTGACTAACAGTAAAGCTTGAATATATGATCTCACGTTATTTGACTTTAGTATTTCAATTCTAAAACCAACCCGTCGATAATTCAGTAGTATTCCAATTTGAAACGCAACAACTCATTGTGAACACCTCATTTTTCACTTGGCATTTAGATATGAGCATGTAACAGTTGGGTTTCAATCTTAATGGTAAAAAGTTTAAATCCGTGTGATTTACAGATCGATATGGACCATTAAAATTGATAGACCTATGAATTTATTGCTTTTAAATACATGAAGCAAACAATAGGATTTAGACAAAATTCAAAATAAATCTGAATCCATGACCAAATCTATCACCAAATAATCAAACAAACAACCCCTAAATAGTCAAATTGCTCATCCGGGAGGAAGCTATAAAACCCGAACCGTTTGGATTTCCACTTTTCTATGAAATCCAGAGACGGAGAGTGAGAGACCGCGAACGGCAAATTGCTCACTGAAGCAGGACCGAAGACATGAGTTTTCTCGCGGGAAGGTTAGCGGGAAAAGAAGGCGCCTACTTTTTCCAGGAATCCAAACACGCCGTCAATCGTCTCGTCGAGAAATCCCCCGCCGCCACCACCACCACCAAACCAATCGCCGCAACCCTAGCCCCGCCGCCTTCCGTTCCCCAATCGGACGTGCTTCCGGAAGTTCTGAGGCATTCCCTTCCGTCCGGAATCTTTGGTAAGCCGTCGGATTCCTCCACCCTCTCCAATGGGTCCAAGTGGGTTATCCCCTCCGACCCGAAAAACGGGTCGGGTGTCTCGCCGGACAAACTCAATCCCCTCCGGGCTTATGTTTCTCTGCCTCAGGTCACTTTTGGTCCCAAAAGGTAATCTCTTTAGGACCCGAATCGACTGCCTTTGCCCAATTGGATCAGTTTCCTTTTCTGGGGTTTCAATTTCGGGGACTTTTCGCAGGTGGGAATTGCCGTATCAGGAGCATTCGATGACGGCGTCGACGGCGAATGAGCTGAGAAAAGACAAGTATACCCCTATGAATCCTGAGAAGTTGAAGGCTGCTGCTGAGGGTCTTGCTAACAGTAAGTTTCCCTTCGTTTTCTTCTCTATTCTTCAGTCGAAATTATTGATTGCGAATTTCAATTGAGTTAGAAAAGATGGTTTTCTTCTTCTGGTGGCAGTTGGGAAGGCATTTGCAGTAGCTACTGCCCTTGTGTTTGGTGGTTCTGCTGTGCTGTTTGGTTTAGCAGTGTCCAAGCTGGAGCTTCAGAATGTAAGCTAAGTTGGCCTCGTATGAATTGTCTTCATTTGCAAAATAAGTACCATTTCTGGACAATCCGTTGAAGAAAATTGCATTTTCTGACAGGGTGATGATATCCGTATCAAAGGGAAAGACATGGTTCAGCCGAAGTTCGATGTAATCAGGGAGCAATTGATGCCATTCAAAGCCTGGGTAAAATCGGTGTGAAGTCTTCATCGTTCAGAAACTATTCTTGTCTAGGCTGGTTGCTAAGTTTCTGTTTTTTTTTTTTTTTTCATATGATCAGGCTGAAGAGAAATCAAAGAAGTGGCAGCTAGATCGACATGAAGAAATCAAGGAGAAGCCAATGATCACAGCGCTTTCCAAGATCCTCGGAGCAACAAAGACACCTTGATGATTCATATGCCCAACCACAATCGGTCTGTGTTTCAATTATGTTCTTGTGCATAGTCCTTGATGTTGTACTTTCAGTCATTATGAAAAAAGCTGTAAGATGAGATAAATATCTATAACCATTCTGAGAAGTAATTTTATCTGTAAAAAGGAACAGAATGGTGGAGGGATCGATTAGTCAACCGTCTGAATGAGTTGCAAGGAGAAAACGATAGCTTAATGTTGTTTATACTGGTTCTGTAATACATACTTCACTTGTTTAATGTTTTCTGGTTCTTCTCTGAACATTTCTATTGTCTTGAAGCTTGTAACCAAGCATGACTCGAAGTTGATGACATGATTTGTAAAGACCAAGCATGATATAATGACAGAGGACTATTCCAGAAGGATAGAAATTCCAATCAGAGATTCCTCAACAGCAATCTGCCACTTCGAGGATTTCCCTCAGCCTTTAGCTATGGTCTATGGATTCCTAATGAGCAAAAAACCAGTCCATTTCTACCCCCCCCCCCCCCCCCCCCCCCCCCCCCCCCCCCCCCCCCCCCCCCCCCAAAAAAAAAAAAAAACTAGGCCATCCCAACAATTTTCGACTGATCAGTGAAGCTAACTGAACTTTAAACTGACAAGTTAATATAGACTACTACTTTGAGTAATTGGTGGCACCAAGCTCATACTCTTTCTCAAAGTTTATAATGATGCACCAGATCATCCAACCGGTCTTTGATCTATAGCAACACCATCTTCCTCCTTGATAAACGAATCCAGCCAATCGATCAACAAACGACCAATCCAGCCCTTCCATGGTACAACGCATTAGATCTTCTTTCTTGATCTAGAGTTTAAAATGACTAAGCACATTGCTTAAACACTTCCTCAAACACTCGATCTTTTGTCAACATAACTATTAGTATTTTCCTCTATGAGACCGGAGCGATGAAACTGATACACAATGGTTCAAGGTTTAACAATCAAATTCTGACATAATAAACCATGATCTAATTGTACCAAACTCAGGTCAAAACACAGTTAGAAAGGCATGATCAGTCTGTAGGACACGGTTTCACAAATACTGATTTCGCCATATAGTTTGAAATGTACACATAGCACCCAGAAAAAAAGTTAATGATAGCAGTTTGCAGATTTGCAGTCAAATTCTGCGTGGCTGCTTTTTTCAAAACATGTAAACAGGATACTATATAAATAGTTTCCTGCAGTAGAACATTTCAGAAAGGTAAGGACTTGATCTATGCATGAAATCCAAAATATCATGCAGGAAACTATGGAGATTTTATCCAAAGAATCAAATTCCAGTGCTAATCCTAATGAACTGTCTCCGGCAAGAGGCCAATTGGACTAGCTACAATACATTTAAACAGAAAAAGCATATATAGAACTAGGAGTACATCTTTTAAGTAAGCAAGAGAGAAACTCTGCTGTTTCCAAGCATCTTGACGAACACACATTACTAAATATTATTCATTGAATAGGAAACAGAGGGCATAACATGTCTTACAGAAACCCTAAGTATCATCTATTCGCAAAGATGAAATGGACTGTGCATCACTGTATCTTTCGGGAGCTTTACAGTTCATATCAAGACACTACTGAAGCAAACTACAAACTACTCAGTCATTGCTAGCTCCTATCCCAAAAAAAACCCACCAGATATCCATGTCTATCTAGAATCACACTGCAAAGAAACTTGAGAAGGTACATAATTAGTTATGAAATGATGCCATATTTCTCCCTGAACTTCAAGCTGACTAAATTCTCCCGTCTCTGGATGAAAGACGATGAAGCATTGAGGTTTGTCCTTCTCGTCGAGTGATCCGCCATCGCCCAAAAGATTTGGTTTAGAAAAACACTTCAAATTTCCCCAAAATCCAGCAGATTCGATAATGTCGCCCAATGCATAAAGCTCATTGTCCTTGTAAACTTCCATTGTAGGAGTTGGCTCGACATCAATGACAGATAACTTGGTCCACGACTCCGATGTCCAGTATTTCAGGAGCACCCATATCTCCCAAGATGTGATCTTTTTTGAATGGCAGTCATAAATGGAACAAAGAACCACCATTGACTCCTCCTCCAACAAACACTCAGAAATTGTACCCATATGGGCCATATCCTCCAGATACTCCACCTTTACTCTTTGGAAGTGAAGCAACTGAATCAAACACTAGACTTCTATCCGACGAGCGCTACCAGTACAACTTCCCTTGTGAATTCGTTATTTCACAAGATGGTCGGCTAACTTGTCTAAGGATTTTATAATCAATCGATTCTGAATCAAAACCAAACCCAACAGCACGAGGAGAGCCGTCACTATAGAAAAGCGAAGGTGGAAGTACCTTGGTCTCCGATTTCGCCGGGCTCCAAGGGATAAGGTCTTCGGGGCCGGCGATGTCTTCTTTATCGGATATGAAAATAAAGCCATTACAGCACCCTGCAACTTGTAAATCCTGATCATCATAGCAGCCGTCCTGATGACTACAGGAGGGTAGCTGGATTGGGGAGGGAAGTAGGGGTTCCAGTGTGTCGGGAGAGCACAAAGTGTAAACTGACCCAAGGCGGTTGTGAGTGAAGTTTACCATGAGTTGAGGACGGGAGGCGCCGGTATTTCCTCTGGCGGAAGAAGAGGATAGTACCATCTGGCAAACAGTGGCGGAGGGGGAAAAAATCCCAAAATACTCTAATTATTAAAAGAAATTCCCAAAATACAGTACTTATAAAATTATTTCCCAAAATACAGCAGTTTGAACATCACCGCTGCAAACCAAGACAGTGATCGCAATCACCATTTTTGACTAAAACGGTGATAGCATCATCGCTTTGGACCAAAACAGTGATGCTACCACTGTCTTGGACAAAAGCGATGATGGTATCACCGTTTTTGATCAAAACGGTGATTGCATCACTGTTTTGGTTTAAAGCGATGATAGCATCATCGCTTTCTACCAAAACGACCGTTTTGGTTAAAAACGGTGATACTCGACCTTATCATCGCTGATGTGTAAAGCGATCATATCATCGCCATGGACCAAAACAGTGATAATTGACACGTTTTAGCGCCCTGGTAGGTGGAAATTAGGTCACAGCTACCAAGCAATCACCACTGAGGACAATGGTGGTGAACACATCACTGTTTTTGTCCAAAGCGGTGATTGCTAAAAAAAATTTCTATAAATACTGACCTCCACTTCCCCTATTGCTACCTTACAGAAAATTAGTACAAAAATTAGTGTTTTATTAGTCGTTTTCTCAGCTGGTTTGGAGTTGGTTTACTGCTCAAGAAACTCGTCGGGATTCGGTATGTTATAATTATGTAATGTTTACATGTTGATGTGTTAGTAATTTATATGTCTGTACTTAGTGAATTGCGGTTATTGGAAAATATGTTATGATATATTTAGATTAATTATGATATGATAGATGTTAGTTAATTAGTTATGAATTTAGATGAATTTGTTTAGTTTTCTCATGATAGATCGGGAGTCGGTATGTTATAATTATGTATTGTTTACATGTTGATGTGTTAGTAATTATATGTATGTATTTAGTGAATTGCGGTTATTGGAAAATATATTATGATATATTTAGATTAATTATGATATGATAGATGTTAGTTAATTAGTTATGAATTTAGATGAATTTGTTTAGTTTTCTCATGATAGATCGGGCTTCAGTATGTTATAATTATGTATTGTTTACATGTTGATGTGTTAGTAATTATATGTCTGTAGTTAGTGAATTGCGGTTATTGAAAAATATATTATGATATATTTAGATTAATTATGATATGATAGATGTTAGTTAATTAGTTATGAATTTAGATGAATTTGTTTAGTTTTCTCATGATAGATCAATTACATGCGTTTGTTTATGGGTTTGGATGATATTGTTTTTGTGTCCCTAATGTACTAATTATATACTATACTTAATTATTATAAATTGCAGACATGGTTAAATTTAAGAAGTTTCGACTTATTATTCGGTGGAATGGTCGGGTGACAAACTCGAACATTGGCATCGACTATGAAAATGGCGAATCCACTATGCTAAAAATTGAGTCGAGATTCTCGTGGCAAGAACTCCATGACATTTGTGCAGAAAGGACTTGTACGGGCTTGCAAAGGAGAGTTGGTCAAATTGCCTACCGCTATCCAAACATGAGTGCTGGCGGAGTCATGTACGAAAAAGTTGTCATAAATGATGATGATTCGGTGAACATGATGATACAGTTCCTATCTGACAACGGGTTGCGGCTTGCAGAGGTGTATGTCGAGACCGAGCCGGTCGGTGAAACTCATTCTCACTAGTATTCTTGTGATGATGGTTTTGCAGGAGGGTATGGCTGGGGTGGTAGTTCAAGTAACTACGGAGGAGGTACTTCTGCAGGAGGGTATGGCTGGGGTGGTACTTCAAGCAACTACGGAGGAGGTAGTTATGAAGGAGGTGTTGGGTGGGAAGAATACCCGCAACATGGTGAGACTGCCGTCAATATCATTCAGCCCGACGGTGATCAATGGCCTGCTTGGGGTCCAGAGTGGGCTGACATTGAGAACAACCTTCGATCTGGGCGTTCTTCGCATGACCAACAAGACGATGTTGGTTATGCTGGCAACGATGACCATCCTGAGTCGAGCTATCCATTCGCCTCTAGTGACGATGAAAGTGAGGAAGATTTGAGATCAGTCAGTGAGGAGGAAGATACGGACGATATCGATGACAGAGAGGTGGCGTTCCGTCAGGCACCAACGCCTTACTACACAGAGGTTCCTGATCAATTTTTATATGGTCAGAACGATGCCCCTGACTATCGGCCCATGCCTGTGTATAATCCGACTGCTCCTTTGGAAGTGGGTATGGCGTTCACTTCGAAAGCCGATGTGCAAGATGCTTTTAGCGAAGAAGCCATGCGCCGTAACTTCGAATGGAAGGTAAAATATTCTGACACCAAACAATTGCATGTCATTTGTAAGAATGCTGGAGAGGGTTGTGAGTGGCAACTTCGGGCTGCATATATGAAGAGAAAGGGCGTCTGGGTCATGCGAACAGTAGAGAACAACCACAGATGCTCCTCAACCATACTTTCACAGGATCACCGGCAACTGAAAGCAAAAAAGGTGGCGAGAACCATTAAGCACCTAATCGAGGCACAACCGGATATCAAGATAAAAGCTATTATGGCCGAGGTGAAGGATCGACATTCCTACACCATAAAGTATAAGAAGGCGTGGCATGGGAAGCAGAAGGCCATGGCTGAGGTCTACGGTGATTGGGATGACTCGTATGCTTTACTCCCTCGACTAATGTCCGCAATGGAGGAGTCCAACCCTGGGACGGTTTTCGTGCCGTGGTACAACAACGTGCAAACTGAAGATCAAGTTCGAGTACAGAACGAGTTGATGTTTCATCGTCTGTTCTGGACATTCAAGCCATGCATTGACGGGTTTCCCTTCTGCATGCCAGTGATTCAGGTATATTACGGACTCAAAATATTGTACTAGTTCATTACCTTACTAAGTTAAATTTTTACTAACTAATTATTCATTTTTAACAGGTTGATGGAACTTTCCTTACTGGGAAGTATAAAGGAACTCTTCTCATTGCAACTGGGGTTGATGGAAATTTAAGTATTTTCCCCTTAGCATTTGCATTAGTTGAAGGGGAGAACAACTTAAGTTGGGCATGGTTCTTTGACCAGCTACACGCCCACGTCACACAAAGAATGGGTATTACAATTATATCGGATCGACATGCCGGGATTAAACACGCCGTCAATGGTTTTCCCGACGAATGGGGATGGACATGGCGCTGGTGTATTCGTCACTTCCTTGCCAATTTCCAACACAAATTTGGCAAGAAGAAAGACATAATAGATCAATTGTGGAGTGCAGGTAGTAATGTAGTTCAGTCGATTCTTCATGGTTTATTGTTGAAATGAAATTTCTTATGGCTTAATTATTTATTCTCCGGTCTTGTAGCGGTTGCACATCAACCAAAGAAGTACGAGCAGAAGATGAAGACGATCCGTCAGATACACCGGGCGGGAGCAATATGGGCAGAAGGTCAAGATCTGCACATGTGGACATTTCACATGGACAACGGGGCTAGATTCGGCATTGCAACTACCAACCATGGCGAGAGCATAAATGGAGTCTACAAGGGCATTAGGGCAATGCCTGTATCTGTCCTAGTGGAGATGACATACTGGAAGGTCAACGAGTGGTTTGTGAAGAGACGGGATCTCGCTATAGGGAGGGAGCGTGCTGGTCATTCAATAGCACATCATATATTTGATGGCATGCAGAAGATCGAGGAGAAATCAAGTAAGCACATAGTTGTTTTGTTCAACCGCAATGAAGGTATTTTTGTTCATGGAAAACAACACAATCCCAAACCAAATTAAGACGACATAGATAGTTCTTGGAAAAACAACACAAGACCAAACATAATTAAGACGACATAGATAGTTCACTGGTTCTCTTCATTTCCCTCTTCCTCCACTTCCACTTCCCCTTCTCTTCCTCTTCCTCTTCCTCCACGACCTCCTCGACCCCTTCTTCCGCCTTCTCTACCTCCTCCTTCTTCACGAGCACGCTGGACAACTCCTCGCGGATTCCTCTTAACCCGGCCACCCACCGGAGTGTAGACAGGTGGTGGGGGTTGATATGGCTGAGATGAACCAGAAGCGTGGTGGAAAGTCGATGGTGTGTGTTGTTGAAGCGGGGTCTGATACTGAGCAGTTTGTTGCTGATGGTGGAAGTGAGGGGTGCCTTGGGCGAACATGTCATGTTCCTGAGTCGGGGCATAGCTTGACGACCCTCCGGTGCCCTCAGTACTAGTTGCCCACTCACAATGTGGCCATGGTTCAGGAAGTTGAGCTTGTTGAGACGGACGAAACTCTTCAATGTTTTCTCTCACCCTTCTTCTGCTCCTCCTTGGGGGCTCTTGTGGGGGCACGATCCTCTCATCAGCACGGAATGACGGTCGGGGCGGTGCAGGCATTGGAGGGTATAATACGACATCCCTCCTTTGCTCTCGGGTACAACAGAGCAGGTTGTTGAAAAGCCTGCGCAAAAAAGATGTCTTCCGCTCATCCATGGTGGGTGCACTCTCGACAGTGTGCTTGGCATGTTCCAAACCGTCAACCTAATAAATTGTTGTACAAAATTAACTAACATTAAGACAAAGAGGCATCCTTAAATCTAACAAAGGCATGTAATCATACTTCCAAAAATTTAGACATGTAATCGTACAAAAATTTAGACATTGTTGTACAAAATTAGCTAACATAGGCATGTAATCATACTTCCTAAAGTTAACTAATTAATTAATATTCTAGCTAATATAGGCATGTAATCATACTTCCAAAAATTTAGACAAGTAATCATACTTCCAAAATTTTAGACATGTAATCATACAAAAATTTAGACAGTGTTGTACAAAATTAACTAACATAGGCATGTAATCATACTTCCAAAAATTAACTAATTAATTAACATTCTAGCTAATATAGGCATGTAATCATACTTCCAAAAATTTAGACAAAGAGGCCAAAATGGAATTCACTTACCACTGCGCCTCAAACAGCACCTTGCTTTGACACCCATCTGAGCGTGAAATTTCGATACCACCGCATGTAGCCATCGTGGTACCCCATTGGCCTTGTCTCCGGCATCCCTTGGACCACCCACTGATTTCTATTCTCCCATATGTTGATGTAGAATTCATGCTTCTTTTGCCAATCCTTTTTGGTGTGGCGTAGGTCAATTGCGTGGAGCTCCCTGAACCCTTGAGGTGGGGATGCTGGAATTGGTTGCTCCAATCGATATTGCCTCAAAGATCGATCGGGCAGGTGTCATTCCACCATGTGGAAGCAGATTAAGGGAACCTTGCACAACCATGTCTCTTCATCCTCGGGATGTCTAAGACGATGCAACTCAACCACTTCATTTGGATATGGATCCCATACCGCCTACAATCATTATAGTTCATGGAATTAGTACAAATTATATCCACTCCACCTAAAAAATTGAAAATGATGAAATTTAAGTATTTTTACCTGGTTCCACCAAGGCTTATCGAATTCAGCACGATAAAACAGCAAAGAGTGTTCGGGCTGGTGGTCGTTTGTATTTGCTCTGATCCACCTAATTAAGCAAAAGTACGTATATAAGCAATTTTTATGGCATAGATGTTTACTTGTTAAGTATGATTGTATGGAAGCATCTAAATTGAACTAAAATTCCTTACTTGGCAATAATCTAAATTAGCTAAATACGATTTGGTTAGAAAAATTCTAAATTTGCTAACTTGGAAGATATCTAAATTCACTAAAATACTATAATTGCAGACCTAAAATGTCACTTAATTTGCTTACTTGAAAGATATCTAAGTTCGCTAAAATTCACTAAATTCGCTTACTTGGAATAGATCTAAATTCACTAAATTCGCTTACTTGGAATAGATCTAAATTCACTAAAATACTACCATTGCATATCTAAAATAAATTAAACTTAAATTAAACTTACTTGAAACCATATGGGGGATTTGCTACAAATCGTAGCTCATCATCTGGCAACCAGAATTCCCGAGGGTCTCGAGGTGCTAAAAACGGAAGATGCTCCCATGCCCAGAGTTGGAGTATGAACATCGCACCACCAGCTTGTTTCGCTCCCAACCTCGAGCAAGTACACAACTCTCGGTAGATCCCAGCCAAGACGGCGGACCCCCAACTTTTTTTCCCGATCTCGTCCCAGTCACCGAGGAGTATATTTAACCACATGCCTTGTATCCACCGGTTTGACTTGTCGGGGAACAGAAACCCACCAACCAAACCAATTAGGTAGACACGTGCATACCGCTCCACCTGATCTTCAGGAGTGTCGGGGCCTATATTAACCTCCATTTGGATGTGGTCAACAAGCCACGGGACCGATACTTTCCCCGCATTCAGTGGTGGATGCCCAACCCCGTCGACGGGCGTGGTGGTCGGCATGTTGAACCCCAAACGCTCTAGAATCAACGGCCCCCAACCATCTTCCGGTTTTTTCGAGCTGTCGATGATGGCATCTCCGGTGATCGGGAGCCCGGTGAGGATGGCAACATCTTTGAGGGTGATCGTCATTTCACCCTCGGGAAAGTGGAAGGTATGCAGCTCGGGGCGCCATCGCTCTGCCATTGCCGTCAGCAGATCGTTGTCAATATCAAGCCTCGTAAAGTGCCTCAGCATGTGCAATCCCGTCCTCTCTATATATGGCTGCAGTCGATCATGCCAACGGGGCAATCGACATGTCCCTCGATGAGCGATGGGAATAAGTGATTCCTACAAAACAAAAAACACAATATTATCAGTCAATAGAAAGCAAAATAAAAACTTTAAAACTATTGAAATAAATTTAGTGTGTCTACTGGATTATTGTTCCAAATTGAACGGGAGCGATGTTGATCTTGCCCGGTTAAATACCTTCGATCCCTTGGGCCAGGATCGATATACAATCGAGGGTCGTATATCTCAGCACCCATCTATAAAAAAATATAAAATCAAATCAATTTAAATTTTAGCACCCATGTAAAAAAAATCACAAAAGAATAAATTAATTTACGTACTCTCAAAGCCTCTTCATCCATTTTTTGCCGAAAAGCTAGCGAGAGTATCGACAAAACAAAAACTCTAGTAATTCTTTCTGATGCGGAAGATCGGACTTAGCCGCAACCACAGAGCATACTTAGAACGAAACTAGAGGAAAGTAAAGGAGGGAGAAAGAAGTATAAGATTTTGGTGTGGTTTGGAATGAGGGGGGGAGTGGTATTTATAGGGGAAAGGGGCGCTGGAAATCTCACCAGGAACCAATCACCGCGTCTGATGAAGGCAGTGAAGTCACCGCCTTCAATGAACGCGGTGAAGGCGTGGATAGCTGACGTGGCGCGGCGTGAGGCGTCGGATCGTGGAGAAAAACCACAATCCGCGCCTCACTGCATCTAACGGCAGCGGTGAAGGCGCGGGTGGCGCGGATCGCTGACGTGGAAAGCGGGGCTATCACCGCTTTAGTCATCAGCGGTGAAGTGCCCGCGCGCGTCCACGTCAGCGATCGCGTCAGAAATCGACGGTCAATTATTCCCCGTCATTAACTAAGGCGATGATGCCATCACTGTTGTTGTCCACAGCGATGATGCTATCACCGTTTTGGACAAAAACGGTGATAGCATCATCGCTTTAGACCAAAACAGTGATGCTATCACTGTTTTGGTCAAAAACGGTGATTGCCATCACTATCTTGGTTTGCAGCGGTGATAACCAAACTGCTGTATTTTGGGAAATATTTTCATAAGTACTGTATTTTGGGATTTTTTTTAATAATTAGAGTATTTTGGGATTTTTTCCGACGGAGGGAGAGGGTAGCACGTTGGGTCCCGAGACTCACCCTGCTTCGGGGAAAAATGGTTAAATTAGATACGATAGTTAATTGATATCGAAAATTAGGTCGCGTTTAGTTGACAAGAAAGGGCATGTCGCCGTGACGGCCCTGTTCTCGCTGGTGGTATACGGTGTCTCGCCCAGCTCCTCGCCGGCAACTGCCTCACAGGGATCAGCATCACGTGATGGAAATGGACGCACAACGCCCACCATCTGGCCGTGAACAGCCTTGATTACGATCCAGATCTGCAGCATATCCCGGTGTTCGCCGAGGGCCAACGATTGGTTCGAGAAGCAGACGAGGGGGACGGTCGACATCTCGTGCCCGTCGTGGATGGATTAGTTCCACGGCGGGTTGCAGTTCCAGCTGGAGCACCATCTGTTCCCCAGGCTGCCGAGGTGCCAACTGAGGAAAGTTTCGCCGCTGGTTCAAGATCTGTGCAAGAAGCAGAACCTGCCGTACCGGAGCTACTCGTTCGTCGAGGCGAACGTGTGGACGATCAAGACGTTGAGGGCGGTGGCGGTGCAGGCGAGGGACCTGGCGAATCCTGTGCCCAAGAACATGGTGTGGGAAGCTGTTCATACTCACGGTTGAGGGGGATTTTTGTTTGTTTGTTGACGAATTGCTTCCTCTTTTTTATTATAATTATTTTTTTATTTTTTTCTTATTTTACTTTATTGTGAAAATGAGTTGGAAATGGTAGAAGATTAAAATTTATTTTATTTATTATTTTTTAATTTCCACGTCACCGAGTTAACGGTCAACTTTGAGGGTTGACTGCCAAATCAGACAAATTTAACGGAGTTGGACAGAGAGTGACCAAATTTGAACCATTTAACTAATTTGGGTGACCAAGGTTGGATTTAAATATTTCCAGTGACCAAACATGAACGTTTTTTATAATCTCAGTGACCAACCATACAATTAACCCTTTAGTTGAGAATCGTTGGTCGAAAAGTTGTGTTCGAATCTTGGCGATCTCATTTCTTAAGCATATGGTATACAGATTTGTGCAAACATCAATTTCGTATAAGTTGACTTTCTTATAAGGGAGCATGATAGTAAATGGTATAATATATTATTGAAATCTTCCAACAACTCGATTTATTGATACTAAATATTTTTTTAAGATCATTCGAAAGCGAACGACCAGGTAAATCATGAATTATTGGTTGGTATAAGAATTATTATTAAACTTCTATCAACAACTCGAGGTATTGACACTAACGGTTCTTAACAAATAACACCATTTGAAACACTACGACTGACTAAATCAATGATTGTTTGGTATATATGTAGAGTGATATTCTTGATATTTTCGATTGCTAATGCATTTTAATTTATCAAAAATTTAAACGTAAGATTATATTCAAAAAAAACTATTTTATCATATTTATTTTTTCGAGGTGGATCCACCTTAAACTGAATCCTGACTCCACTGCTGCAGGGACGGAGTCAGGAATTTCATTTAGGGAGGCCGATAATTAAGAGGTGCGGCGTGGAATGGTGAAAGCAAATTTATGATATTCAATAGTAATATTGACGATAAGTGTTGAGATAAACTTATCGAATTTTATGTTGATGGACTAGTCTCGACTTCAAGAAAACTATATAAAAAAAATTATCACTCATTTTTCAAACAATCATTCGATATTTATTGTAAGAGCTAAATGATAACCGTTATTATGAAGTGATTCTGAAAATTAAGAAAAAATTCCATGAGAAACATTTTGCAAAGAAATTTTTGTTGTCTAAAGAAAACACTAAACAGACAAAAAGGAAATATCATAAACTCAAGAAAACTACTTATCGTACGAGCTAATAATTAACACATCAGAATTATAACATAACACAATAAGTTAGAAAGATATTATTATCAAGTTGTCAAACAAGGATTTTATGAGCAAATAACTATCATTGTCAAACAAGAGTGAAATCAAATAACTATGTAATTTAATAAGAAATAAAGAAAAAGGAGACATAGGGACAAAATATAATAAATTACAAATGAAACACAACCCATTATTATTTGTTGAGACAACAATAGATTGAACACTACACAATAAATTGCAAAAAAGTGAATATATATACAAACCCATCAAGGAAAAAGGTGAATATATATACAAAACCATAAAGCTACACATGAAGAAATTGCAAAAAAGTGAATATATATACAAAACCATAAAGCTACACATGGATCGAACATTCTACCTTTAAAGTTGCAAGACTGCATTTCTACCAATTACACTACAGCCATCTTTTGCTCACACAGCTTATATTCTACTTATTTTCATAATCTTAGGGGGGCCATGGCCCCCCTATCGGCCTATCCATGAGCTAGCTTCGTCCCTGCACTGCTGGCAAAGGAAAGAGGAATCCGAGAAGCGATGGCGCCATGATTTGCAAACGCATCGGAGTCGGCCAACATGCGGACCGATTGAAAGCCTCGACAAGATTGTAGTCGTCAACTCCTCTGGTATTTCGTTCACCTCAGGCAAGGTAATCGCCGGTGAATATTTGCCGCATTTGAGTTTTGGCCCCATTTTTTAGAGCTTCAGAGTAACAGCGATCGACCACCAGCCTCTAACCTCGGGTTCTATGATAATCAGTATTATAGTGTAACGAAAGCGGATCAGGTCAACCTCAGGTGGATAACCATGAGTACCTCGTACACATCAGTATGATATCAGCATCTCACTCTCATGGAAAGTCTTTTATTTTTTCCGCTTTAATCTTTAACGGATGATTTCTCTCTCGTTTTAAGTCAAAATTTAAAATTATTTCCACATATAAATCAGACTAATTGTGTTCTTTAAAATGATTTCCACTTTGATATATTACCAGCTAAATGGCCCGCGCTTGGCGGCGGGTGTCCTATCATATCTTATCGTGCATGATTGCTTTTTTGTTCACTTTCACCACACCCGCAATGAATCTTCTTATTTGAGCGAACATGCCCTTTTTCCAGAATTAAATTACCAATATTTCATGATTCTTAGTTGATAATGCAATGTATGTAGTAGCTTATTACTTGGAGTTGACACATAAAAAGTGAAGAACATGCACTCTATAGACGCTATAATTTATAATGTTCATGAATTCATAGAACAATGAAAGTAGTATCACAAACTCCATAAAGTTGTTCACACCAATATTCTAAATTATCTCTGATTCCATCTATGAACTTAATAACCATAAACCATTATTAGTGGATGAATCACTATAACACAAACAATTTAAACCATATAAGTCTGAATTTTGCAGTTTCAGATATGTAGTGTAAAAGTATCTTAACAACTCTTGTTAAAGTAAAATTAATCTGAAGTGAAGTTTATGTGTTACCTTGAATAGACGAAACCACTAGGCCTCCTATGGCAACAATGAAACTGGAGGTTTGAGTAGCATATACAAATTCCTTTGCTCTAAGGTTGTAGGTAGGCTAATTTTATATTGTAAAGGTTCAAATAACTAACTGAATTAGATTACCTTTCGTTTAGTAGTAGTGTTAACGTTTGCTTAGTGGTTCTCCATTGCAAGTAGCCAGCCAATAACATCTAGTTTTGAGCAAATAGTCAATATTGAGTACAGAGATTAAAGGAAAACAAATATAAAACAAATCTCCCCCATTAATAGTTCCATGAGCAAATAAATAGTCAGTACGGAGTGCAGGAATTAAAGGCCCGTTAATGGTTCCTCTAGACCCTGCACGTTGTCCCAGTGTTTCAAAATTGCAGAACTCAAGGCTTTCAGAGCAAAAATCCAAAGAGGAAGTAGTGACATCTTCAAACTTAAACTTGCTTGGTGGTTCTGTAGGCTGCCGCCGAAGTGATGTTGCTCTAGTGTTGTGCTCAACCACACCCACAATCACTTATTTCCCAAGCATAGCCACACCCCCAAGACTGCTTTCCTCCTGAGATAGAGTTTTCGTCTGTTTCTGATCCCCAATTGTATCCTTGCCAGCCTGCTTCCCGTTATAAATTTTGAGTTAGAATGAAATCAAACTCTGAAACAGAGAACAAAATGAAAATCTTGTTACCTGAAATATAAACATATACAATTTGCTGATATTATTGAGTTATGATCACCATATGGCTATCAATCTCGATCTATTCAATTAGTATAATCTTGGAATTATAGAACTTGTAAAACCAAAAGTTAAGCCTATCATACAACCCAAGGAACATCAAGAGTGCCTTTCGAAATCAAAGGACAAATGGCTTACAAAATAGGAGAGGCAAAGCTAAAGGAGGAACTCCAAAGCACAGCAATCAAATTGAAAAAACGGCAAGCTGGTACTTAAAATTGCAGCCTATTCATGCTACACGCTTCAGAATCCCTTAACTGCACCATCTCGCTACCTCATCGTTTGAATTAATTCAAACTACCTTTGCGCCATTTGGGGATTTTCCAAAGTAAAGCTATGCCTTCTTGATCAAACAAAATCAAATGAACTCACACATTATTGTCAAAGAAACTACAGAACCAAGGCCATGAACTATCAAAATGATTTTCTTGATAGCAGCTGTAACACTAATGTTGATGGAATCTCACCAAGCACAATCAAATTGTAACAACTAAATAACTAATAATTCATCAAAATGGAAGATGGCTATGCCAGAAAGGCCCAAGTAAAGCAATTCACAAAGAATTAAGATTGAGTGGAAAAACAATTCTCAAGTGTGGGATTTGACATTACCGATTTCTCTTTCTTTTCTACTCTTGGCTAACTAATGAAGAAGTTCATCTCCCAAATCGCCACCATTGGCTTCAACTGTTCTATAGGTTTATATAAATAAGACATGGGGGAATCAACTAAGGTGGGGACGGCGGAACAAAATGAGCCATGGGGGAATCAACTGGGGTAGAGCGCGGAACGGAATGAGAAGGGGAGATTTCAGGACCCAATTGCCATCGTCTTGGCTGACTAAGGTGGAGAAATGGACCGGAGTGGGCAGAAGGGGATCTCAGCCAATTTCTTCAGTGATTGATCCCTAAAATTCTCACCTTCCCCCTTCTTCTTTGATTCAATTGGAGACGACAAAGGTTCGTGAACTTGCCTAGCCTCCATCCAAACGTCGTGGGGGATCAGAGAAATGCCGGGAGGAGGGGGAGAAGGTCGGCCATCGTCTTGGCTGACGGAGGTGGAGACTGGGATTGGAATGGGGAGAAGGAGATCTCAGCCGACAACCAATGATCCCTCGAAATCCCAGCATACCCTTTCTTCTTTGAGTCAATTGAAAACGACAAACGTTGTCACTTGCGTAGCCGCCATCCGATCGTCATGAGGGGATAGAAGAGTGAGAGGATTGGAGAAAGGCGGGAAGGAGGGAAGAAGGTGGAGAGACCCGTGCAGAAGGAGCAAGGCCTTGAATGACGACGAAGATTAAGTCTAATAATATATGGACGGTGATCCGCGTGACTCCATGGTACTTATTGTAGACCCGCCCATTTCCCACTGAACCCCTTATACCAATTAGGCGCTATTTACATAATAATAAGAACAAAAAAATTGAGCCCATTTTTACCAGTCAATATCATATGGTATGCTCCTATTTAATATCATATGGTAAGAAAGCGTAACATGATGGTATGAAAATACCAAGACTATAGGAAGGTTGAAGACATGATAGTAAGAGTATACTAACTGTCATTTATGACTTTTATCATTGTTTACCACAAGTTATCACCCTCATACCAAAGTGGTAAAGTCTGGTAATTTTTTATCTCGTATTTTGTTCACCCAGAATTTTGTAGATCCAATAGATCATGATGACTCTTTCCTTCTGAGCAAATATTTTCATAAACGACTTAAAAACGAAGAAGGTACCATATGGTATGTAGTTGGTAACGGGAGGTATGAAAAACAAATTCTAAAAATATATCAAAAGTTGATCTCATTTTGTAGAGAACAACGAACTCGTTCAATCTGTGCAAAAAAAAATGAAATCCGAGTTAGAACGAATAAAATAAGATTCGATTAAGAAAATTAGGAAAAATAAAATGTATTTAATTCACATCCATTAAATCTGAATTTCCTATGCTCACTTAGATCTAAATGTGGAGATTTAGTTACTTATAGGTCAGTAACCATATCCCAAACCCAGTGTAATAGTGGGTTTCCTACAAAATAGTCACTTAACTATTATTTACCTAAAACAATAGCTTAAATTTCAACTTGTAACAATAATACAAGATGTTGTGATACTTGGCCCATTGCCATCTAATTCTAGACTATGGAGGACATATTACATGGTGGTAGAGATAGACAATAGATTGTATTAAATAGGGCTGGAAAATGGCGTTGTTGGTTCAAATTGGTCATATATACGGTCTACAGTCCAAATCAAGAGGCTGGAGTATAGATCAGATTACACATGTGTTGTTTGGTTTGGTACGCTCTGTTTTAGATAGACCACAGTAAACGAAAAATTAATAATTTGTTTAATCAATCACACAAAAATTGAGCCAATAACTGAGAAAAAAACTGTTTTTTGCCTTGAAACATAAATTCCAACATGCATAAATAATTTGGGCACCCTAAATCTTAGTAAATAACGAAGGTACAAAGTCGGAAGCATCTCAACTTGCACAATGATGTCATAAACGTTAACATAATGTCATATGAAGACAATATCGTCTCTCCTCTCTAGTGAAATGTAGTTGTGAATGAAGCAAGAGACAAGATTCTCAAATTAGGGTTGAGATTTGGGTCTTGTTGGGAGAGTGGTCAAGTGGACTGCTAACACCTATTGAGAAGTTGGTTGGGTCCACGGTTTGATCCGGTAAATCACAGTCTAGACCAGACCAGACTAAGAGATAAAAACATCATATAATAAAGATCTTTCTTAATGGTCTACAGTCTAGGCTGAACTGTGCGGTTGGACCTCGATTTTTCAAACAATCCGATCTACTTTTAGCACTAGTATTGATAAATTGATGTATTTATTGATTGAATTAAATAAATTCGTGAATTGGATTCATACTAAACTGTAATTTTAAACAAATCCCTTCAGCTCATGGTACTGACTAACTAATTTACACTTACACATCAATCAATTCAATTAAACCAGCACCACCTTACTGTTGTTCTAATCGTCACTTAAAGCCATAAGCAACTCTGATCATTCATCACCAATCAAATATATTTCAACTTTGGCATTCCTTTCCAAGATTGTCGTAGTGGAAACACCTTGTAGATTACTCGTATGCTTGATGTTCTACAACCCGATCAAGGTGTAGTTCCATTGTACACAAGACTGTAAAAAATTTATGAACGTTGATGATGGTTCTGGAAGAATTATCTGCGTGTACTGAAGGATGAGAATGGTTGACATCATAGGTGAGCTTTTGTTACCATATCGTTACAAATTAAAGATTTGCGACCATTTTATACTAAAATTTATGAACGTTAATGGTTGACATCATAGGTGAGCTTTTGTTACCATATCGTTACAAATTAAAGATTTGCGACCATTTTATACTAAAATTTATGAACGTTGATGATGGTTCTGGAAGAATTATCTGCGTGTACTGAAGGATGAGAATGGTTGACATCATAGGTGAGCTTTTGTTACCATATCGTTACAAATTAAAGATTTGCGACCATTTTATACTTGTGCTAATTAATCCACATATGAAGAAGGGAGCAACGGATCCATGCACTTCTTCCAACAAGTATTTTTAGTTCCATCAAGTATTGTGAAGGTCAAATTGTTCACGTAAATACAGGCCACCTTACGTCTGCAAAATAAGTCGCTGACGCTGGTATCTCTTTAAGTTGCACACTCGGTCAAGAATCCTTACAGCAGCCTCATCCATCCATCCATCAATTTGGTCTACAAAGAACAACTCCATAACTCCCAATGTTTTCAGCCCTTGATCAATGAATCACAGCCTTGAGGGGATGTGCTCTGAGATTTGATAGGTCAAGGTGCGCATCAAGATCCTCATCGAGTTCCCCAATAACGCTTCTGCCAATATCAAAGTATCAAGATATCAGAGACTAACCAAAGAGAGAAGTACATAAAACAAGGCAAAGAGAAAGAAAGGTTTAAGAAGAACTTACATATTATCTCCCCGTATTATGTACAAACCCAAAACCAGTTGTTGGACGCCTTCCTGAAAAAGAACGAACAGGCATCTACTGAGTTGTGGCCGGGAATTCGAATGAACAACTGCTGCAAATATCTTACAAATGTGATTTGGATTCTTGAAAATTCAAAAATTAAACATTTACCCGTGAGCTGAAAACAAAAAGATGTGAAGCATGCATTCAAAGGAACAGTAGACCCCTTTAAAGGCTCCAATCTAATCGAGCTGAAGGGAAGAATTCAGGAGAAGAATCCAAACCTTGGTGGAATAAACACGTTCATGAGATTCATCAAGGATGATATTCGTGGCCTGATCAAAGCCTTTCAAGATGCCCTAAATTACCCAAAACATAAAAAGAGGTTACTTTACATTATAGGAGATCATATAGCAATAAATAACTCCACTTCTATTCCCATCAGCTTTTGCAGCTCACAAAGAAGACTACACCATCTGAGGTTGGGATCAAGCGTATCAACTATTAACTATTACTGAAAAGCTGTATTGAAAAAAATAAATACACGTAAAGGACAGGGGTCATGACATACCACTATGTTGCGGCCGTCATTTGTGATCACAGAAATGGTTTCTGCACAGAGAAGAGCAAAGATTATTTAGACCATTAAATAAGGGCAAAGACACAGAAACTAGTATCATTAGCCACCACAGGATTCATAAACCAACGCAGACCTCTTTTCTTTCAGCTTTCATCCAGCTTTATATTGTTAACCAGAGCTCAAGATTTTATTGTTTTGATTTCTGACTAATGAAGTAGAGTCGATACGTAGTGCTATTCATTGCTACTCAAGCGAAAGTCAAAACAAATTAAAATATGCACATTAATAAGAAGAACGTGAATCAAGCAACTATATAGAACTCACAAACCTCTATTTCAGGAGAGGATGATATTTCATGATCTAAAAAACACGAGTTCTTGAAATTTCCTCAATATAGCCATTGAAAAAATCTACTCAATATTGATATGCATTTCATCAGCAGAGGACAAAAGATAATTAGGACATCAATCCAACTTGCCACTGCTAAATTAACCAAATCTTGCTCCTTTTTTAGGTCTCTAGCCATACCCATAAACAGTAGATTCATGTCTAAGAAGTAAGAAGAAACACTACAAAAGGAATGAGAACTGTGTCTATCAAGGGTAGCTTACGATCCACGAGAGATTCAAGTCCAGGTCCAGTAGCCATTCTGCAACTCTCAGAAGTAAAGTTGAGACCCTACCCTGCTACACTCGTTAACTGCACAAGGAAACAGAGAAGGAAGATAAAAATCGAACCCCTGGGATGCACAAGAACAATATACTTTTAGGCACCTAATAATCAACCGAGAAAACCCCATGGGAAGGGTTAGACGAGCCAACATCTAACCAGCAACGGGGAAGAAAAACTTACAGAGATAATCAACAAGCGGTAGCCGCAACAGACCAGAAGTGAGGCGGCAGATGCAGAGAGTGATCTGGTCTGGAGCCGTGAGGTTTCTGTTGGGATTGCGACTGGCACTCCAGGCGGCAGCAGTGGTTTAGTCTGGAGCCGGCAGCAGTGGTGACAAGGCGGAGCAGTGGGGAACGAATTCTACAGTAGCGGCGGTGATGTTCGCCGGCTGCGGGACGAAATCCGTAGGTGGCGGTGACTGGGAACAGTCTAGGGACGACCAGGCCGCTTACTGGCGGGTGAAAACTTGGGGGAAGAATAAGGGGTCATGAGCTCGTGAGACAGCAGAGAAGGGGTTCGCCGGCTGTACAGAAATTAGGGCTTCGAAATTCGAATTCAGTTGGAGGTGTCGAGTGTCGACGAAGGGAAGGGATTAGGGATGGGCATGGCAATGTGTAGGGTACCAGATACCAATTCCGAACCTAGCGGATAGAGCCTTCTAAAATATCCGATCAAATAACTACTGGGTATGAAAATGATATAACCATACCCTATCCACCGGGTAATCACGTCCACGGGTATTCGGGTAACCATGGGTATGAATCCTAAAATACGAACTCATACACATATATGTACATACATATTGTTGTTCGTTAAAAATTTCCAATACTTGTAACTGTTCTAGTTTCAACAAACCACACAAATAAAAACAACAAACACATAATAATTGTTCTTGCTTCTACAATCCACACAAACAAAAACACAATACATCATTTTATTTTAGCTTCAACAATCCACAAATAAACATAAACAGCAAAGACAATCAGTCTTTGTTCTTCGACAAACATATTTTGTGAAGACCAAAAGCATTAAGTCCCTGGGAATATTGCATCTTGTCTCTCCTCCATATGTCGAACATTAGTTCCATTCTACAACAATATAAAAGAACAATCAACATATAAAACAGAGGAAACACAACTTACAAAAACATTTAATTTGGAGTATAGAGATTACTAGTAACACACAAAACATCGTCTACATCTTCATCGTCAATAATGGCAGCTAAACTCAATTTCTTAAGTGAACTCTGATCGTCTACAAGAAAGAATACACTCCACAAGTTAGCTAACAATTGCATATTGTATAAACAACAAATATGAAAGATAGGAAAGACCTATCATTATACCTGGGACATTAGCATTAAACAACCAGTTATGTGCACACATCAAAGCTTCAACTATCTCCGGGAGAAGTCTGCTACGACAAGGGCTAACTAGTCTTCCACCCGAGCTAAAAGCAGACTCAGAAGCACTATAGTGACCGGAATAGCAAGTATATCTCTAGCAATCAATGTCAAAGTAGGATACTTCGAAGCATTTGCCTTCCACCACAACAATATATCAAACCCTGTTGTTTTAGGCAAAACCCTTTCTCTGAGATAACCATCTAACTCGATTTCAGCTTCTTCTTGACTAGCCTACAATGAAGCCACATACCTATCGTAGGCAGACATTTTTGCTCCACTTTGACTACTCAAGTTTACACTTTCGATCACACTCACATTATTACCCACATTCACAGTTGAACGATTCTTATATTCCTTCTCTAAATCCACAATCAATTTCCGGATAGCCTCGATTTTAACTCTTGCTTCCTCACCATAGATGTTAGGAAAGTAGCATTCCAACAAAATAAACGTGTACCTTGGATCAAAGACAGCAGCTATAGCCAAAACATCATGGATAGAACCCCAATATTTCTCAAACTTTGTCATCATACTCGCTGCCATATCTCTAATGAAGAGATCATCATTCAACAACCAATATGAAATTCTCACTTTAATGTCACATACTTTTTCAAAGAACAAGTTAGAAGTTGGATATTTTGACCCTGAAAATAGCTCGGTCACTTCATAAAACACCTCCAGTTTCTCACAGATTTTCTTTGCAAACCTCCAATCTGACTTTGAAGGCAAACTCTTCTACAGTGGTTCTCTTAGTTTCAACCGAGAAAAAACAGCTTGGTAACTCAATGCAATAGTAAGCATAAGATATGTAGAGTTCCATCGAGTTGGACAATCTAAACTTAATGCTCTTCCATAACAAATCCTTGAGTTCTTAGAAAGTAGCTCAAATTTTTCTTTCCTTTTTGGGGTTGCTGTCCAAAATTGAACACTTTCACGAATGCGCTCTATGCTTTTCTTTATAACATCTAAACCATCTTTAACAATAAGGTTGAGAATATGAGCACAACAACGTATATGGAGCTTAGAACCAGACCACATCAAATGTTCACTGCTTAACTTATACTTCATGACATCCATCAAGGCATCATTATTAGAACAATTATCCAAGGTAATCGTAAATACCTTTGTGTCAATATCCCAAGCAAGTAAAATGTCAAGAAGAGCCTGAGCAAGCACCTCACTTGTGTGTGGGCAAGGAACATAAACAAACCTACAATACATAAAACAATAATAAGAAAAAGATTAGTCACATATGTCATTACTTGTAAACATGCAGCGGTTAGGGTAGTGGCCAGCGGGCAGTGGGTGCTGGGTTGCTGATGGGTAGGGTTAGGGTCTAGGAAAATCAACCTTTAGTTAGCGAGGCGGGTATTATCGATTACCATACCCGTACCCTACCCTTTATTTTGAAACCGGGTATTACCCGTACCCGCCCTTAACCCGTCAAAGTAGGTAATTACCCTCGTTGACCGGTTACCGTCGGGTAGGGTACCCATGGTTACGGGTTGGATTGACATCCCTTCAAGGGATTTCGTTTTGTGCGATTTTCTAAAATAAATATATGGTTAATATCTTAGTTTGACCCTAATTATACACAAACTTTCTATTTTGCCCGTGGTTTCGGAAATTGTTCTTCTAGCCTAAACTACGTACCATACTTCCTTATTTGGTAAGAAGACGGGTTTGGCCGTCAAATTGCCACGTCAGCGAGGAGAGAAATAAAAAATTAAAGTTTAGAATTTTTGTATTCTTTTTCCTTTGTAATAATAATAATAATAAACAAATTCCTAATTGACACACACTCAGCGAGCAGAGATAAAGCTATGGGTGGGAAACCCCATAACCTCATCCACACACACTCGTCAGCGTCCATCTTTTTTTTTTTGACAAATCAAATCAACTTTTATTCCACCATAACAACTTCACGCTAAAACTATTACAATTCTAGAGGAGAACAGAAATTAGATCAAGAATATTAATCCAGTCATCTGGCAGATTAGATTTAGCTTTTGATCGTGCAACCCAATCAGCTCTGACGTTCAAAGCCCTCGGAACCTCTTCCACCGAAATAGCTGGGTTATTCCTCAGGATATTGACCATTGTTCTAATCCAGGCTGGGCATCTCCAGGGCCACCGAGACTGATTATGATTCAGGGCCTTCACCAGCATTTGACAGTCTGATTGAACTGTACACACCGATCCATATTCTTGTGCTAATTTAATTCCTTCCAAAAGTGCCTTAGCTTCCGCTTCCATCGGGGTGGAACAAAGGATATTTTCAGCTCTCCCATCGCTCACTTGTCCATGGTGGTTAACAACAACAACACCATATGCCGCCGACTGGGGGTCGCTAAAGAACGACCCATCACATTGAATCACAATCGAGTGACTACTTGGCGGTGGATTCGTAGAAGGATGGGATCCCCTGAGCTGAGTGGGTCCATCAGAACCTTGAGGTGGGGGCCTCGGGCAAGCAATCCATTCCGTAAGCTCTCTATAGGTTTGCAGACAAACGTTTGGGGGCCAGGGTATTCGATTCTTGAACGTGCATTCATTCCTTGCCTTCCAGATGTTCCAACAAAGGTAGATAATATGAATTAGGTAGTTTTGGGGGATGGTATCTTGGAGGGAGCAGAACCAATCAAAAAAAGAGGTGCCCGGCGGAGGAATCGGAAGGGATGGGAAAGAGCTAGTCCAAGCTTCACTGGCATGCGGGCAGTAGAAGAGGCAGTGGTTGAGGGATTCAATAGGGTTATGACACACCTGGCAACTCGGATTGGGAGCACATTTGCGTTGAAATAGTCTTGCTCTCGTTGCTAACCCGTCTCTGGAGCATCTCCATATAAAGAATTTAAGTTTTGGTGGGATATTCAGTCCCCAGATCCATTTCCACTTCTCTTCACTACCATTCGATTGGAAATTTGTATTGGCTTTGTGAACAGCGTGGTAGGCTGTCCTGACCGAGAACTCTCCCTCTCGGGTGAGACTCCACGCCCATAAATCCTCGGATCCCTCCTCCCCAATTGGGACTTTAAGAATAGCCTCCTCTTCCTCTCTCGTCACGTTACCTTGCAGCATATCAACGTTCCAGTTCCTGCTGACAGGGTCAATCCATTCCTTTACCTTCAGGTTTTGCTGGGGCCCACTTCCAATGACAAAGTTTTGGAGGTTTGGAATCCATGGATCTTGACCAATCCAAGTGTCCTCTCCCGAGTCAATAACTCTAATTGCTCCCATGTTGATAACCTTCTTGGCCTCCCACAGACTTGCCCAAATCCAAGAAGATCTACTACCTTTTTTCGACTGAATCGAATCCCTAATTCTTTGTGCTCCACACCATCCAGGCTGCGAGAGAGCACAATCCGCCATTTTTCACACTGCACAGGTGACAGTCGGAAGCAACACAGTCGCCATCCCCAAAGGTGAGAGCGAGCACTAGAGATGAGTTGTTCTTGTGCATCGTCCTCAACTCACGGAAAAATAATATAGAAATTCTAATTTTTTTTTTATTTCTCTCTTTGCTGACATGGCAAAGTGAGTTGGCCATTGACCGTCCAATTTGACGGTTAAACCTGTTTCTGGGCCAAATAAGGAAGTATGGTACATAGTTCAGGTTAGAAGAGCAATTCCCGAAACCACATACCAAAGTAGAAAGTTTGTGTATAGTTCGGGCCAAACTAAGATATTAACCCTAAATATATTATATGAAAAACCAGGCAGGCCGCTTGCTGGACTTGTGGGCTGCAGAGAAATTACGATTTCATAGCAATTTTATCAATGTTATTCAAGTTTTTTTCTGATTCTGTACATCAATCGAGTCTACATAAAAGTTTAATCATTCTGTTGATTTAGAAGGGTACAAGTATATAATTTTACGATTTAAAAAATGAATCATTCTGTATAATTGTACGAGTCTACACATCAGTAACATGATGGCGAAATGGCTCCAGAGGAATGGCTGAATGTGGTACGAGCTAGAACGTTTGGGATGAGAACTACTAGTCTAGACAGACTTAATTTTGGAAAGCTTGGGCAGTTTGCTGGGTACGACCTGCTGTGCTGTCAAGGGAGGGGCTTTGCTGGCTGGGAGAAAATGGCAGTCTCAACAATTGCTGATCACTAGAAGTTGTTTCCTTACGTTCGCCAACGAGTTTGCTCTTGTGTAGCTCCCTGCCACTTTTTAGTTTGGACCCAGTTCATTTCTTTGTTTCTTTGTTTTAGTTTGAACCCATCTAGCTTATGGAGGAGCTGCTTTCTTTTCTCTCTGCATGAGCTACTGGGTTTCACATCTCCTGATGACCTGCCATGGTCTTGTGTTTCAGGTGCTTTTGGTCCTTGTGGCATTGTTTTCGTTGTTTTTTCTTTTGTATTTTTGTAGTAATTAACTTATGTCACCATTATAAATAAATAAATCTCGGAGTGAAAATACCGTAACTGCAATGTTTCTTGATGTTCTATCTATCAGTTGTATTTTCATTGTAAACAAGACGGTAAATGATGAGATCACCGTCATTCAGAGTTCTGAAAGAAGTAAGAACAATTTGTTTGTCCAACGAGTTATAAATAGGCTCTTCAGGTTATGTAATGTTTTACATGGTCCAATGCTATGCATGGCTCTTCTGACAACTCAGAGCTTGTAATCTAAACCAGAACCATATTTCCAAGCATCCAGGCGCCGGTTCCATACGTACTTGGTCTTGGATGAAGACGAGTTCAATAATGGCCTTGTAGAGGCAAGGGGAAACCAATCAAAAGCATGATTCAATCTAAAACATGGAAGTGACCAAACAAAACGAAGGGACAAAGTTGAAAAATATATCAATGTGCTAACCTGATAGCAGGGTCAGCAAAGGTGGAGAGGAAAGTGTAAAGACCAAGCATGATAAAATGGCCAGACCAATCCAGAAGCACAGGCACTCCAACCTGCCAGATAAACAAGATCCATTCCGTCACTGGATTCTGTAATACCACTGTGAAAACAGGTTTCTGATCATTTAAGAATACGAAGCAAGAAATGTTCAGATTTCAAGGGTACCTGTTTGAATATTGATGGGATGATTTGAGGTTTGTTTAACATAACAAGCCCTAATGTCTTAGTAAGAGCGCCAAACTGTATAACGTCCTGCAAAGTGGCACCCACATCGAGGGCCAGATGAATAGCAGTTTAATCATAGATGAATAGCAGTTTAATCATCTGGTTCGTAAGACTAACAGATTAGAAGGGAAACCTGAAGAAATGGTCTTAGAACTGGATCTCCAAGCTTCTGAGAAACAACAACGATATAGCAGCAATGAGAAACCCAGAAACTTGCAGGGAGGCATTAAGCAGAAGTGGAAAAGTAATGACTATCTCTCTGACTATGTAACTCTACCTGCATGCTCTGGAAATTGACATGAAGAAGGTCGTTGACAAATTCTGGATAAACATTTGAGTTTTGCTTGGCTGACATTGCTCTTTGGAATAACCATGAAGCACTTAAATTTGGCTACCAAACAGAAATCATTTATAAGGCATCTTAAGTGGGATGTTTGAGACACACATAGCTAGAAGAACCCAGCAACCAACCCACCATATAAGGATTTAGCAGCGACAAGCTCTCTGCATCAAAGAAGTCTCCATTGATTGCTTCATATATTCCTGCATTTCCGGCCAATAGGGGATCCCTATATGCTTACACAGTCGGACATTTCATTAACTATTCTATAACTCTTGCAGTCAATAAAGAATATTACCAGATGAAAGTCTTCCAAGGTGCCTTGTTAAGCTTCCAAAACCACCGAACGAAACAGGTGACTGTATGCCACTAGCATCTCCAAACTGTTAAAAGGAACTTTGTTAATTCCGGATCCAATTTTGATTTGAAATTACTTTGTAAGTATTGGAGATCTTCATATAGACCCACCTGTAGGATGCGGTCAAATGCAGCTGGTAGTGGACTGCAATGTTGATCCTCCCACGTCAAGAACTTAATATGTCAGATATGAGCACCAAAATTTAGCCATCATATTCAGATCAAGGAAATTGAGAAATTTGAGGCTAATGCTTGAAGTTAGTAAATACAATTAATTAGAAATTGAAAAGGCAGAAGACCATGGTTGCTCTATTTTATTTGTTTTCTCTACTGCATTCCTATACACACGTCCAATAGTCTTCTCCGTTACCTATCTCGGTATGTAGGAAAGATGCCATATATGACTCTTTGAATCTCTACGTTTTCCAAGGAGATTTCCTGCACGGCATTGCCCATCGATCTAGGAGAATCAGACAAAACTAGAAGAGCTAACACAATCTCAAATTATTGCATGGCCACATACTTCTTCCACACGCACAAACAAAAGAGAGAAACGGAACTGTAATGGCTTCTCGAGGTTCTAAGTATGGACAATTGTCTCTTAATAGTTTTGGCAAGAGAATTTGGCAAGTAAATGATCGACATGATATGAAGAGCATAACAGATAACAACCCACCTGATATTTTGGCATCAAGTCCCAATAACTTTCTAGCAGTTCCTCGAGTTTTGGTGATCCTGGTCGTGGTTGAACATAAGTGAACATATAAGTGGTACGGTCCAAAGGACCAGAACCTGCTGGAAATGCCTGGGAAATTGTTAGAGAATGAAGGAAAGATTTGTATCTTGCAGGACTAGAGATTAAACTAAGACTTAGCATACCTCCCAAAATAGATGAACTTCTGAATCTCCTATCTTTTCAACAGATGAGCTGCTATAGATAACATCGCTCGAGGAATTTTCTCTAAACCCATGAGCACAAGTTCCAACAACAAGACAGACACCATCAGGCTTCCTTCCACTTCTTATCTGGTAACCAAATACAGAGGAAGGCACCGAATTTATTCACCACTGCATTTGTCTAAGTAAACCTGCTCAAAACATCAGTATGGTCCTCTCATACTAGGCAATAAAAAAAAACTACCTGTTTAACCACAGGTGAAAAGTTCCCCATTGCATCAAGTACGAGTTGGCATGACAAGATTTTACCCCCTGCAAGCTGCAAAGTCTTTACACAGAAAGTCGCATAGGGAAAATTATTCATCTCACAAAGCATACAACAGAGTGCAACCTCACTTAGGTAACAAGTCATTACATTGCTCAGTGAGTAAGTGGAAACTTACTGCTATATCTTCAAATACTCTTATGCTTGAAACTGCGCAGCTTTCAAAGATGACTCCACCAAGTGAGGTAAAACGGCTCTTCACTATGTCAATGAGTTTTGCAGGTCTGATTACACAGATGAATTTTAAGAAATATTTAGCAATTAGTCAATTACACTATACTTCTCCACTAGGCCATAAAATAACAATCAGAACAAGGTTAAGCAAGAACATAACGTACGAAACGCCGAGGTTAAGAATGTCTTGAACCCATATTTCACCCTTATCCTCAAATCCACATCTGTTCTGCACAGTAATTATACGATCCCCAATATAAGAAACAGAATATGGTACCTAATAAGCTCTAGAGCCATCACATATATTTTCTGAACTAAGCTACACCAACCAATTTATGAAACTTCCCTTACAGGATTAAATTTTGAAGATGTAGCTCGTTCAATGTCCTCATATGTCAAAACTCCAACTTCCACAAGCTCCAAGAGCTCTTTCCTCGAGATATTCCATTCTTGTTCTCTCTAGTCATGAAGAAGAACTAATCTTGCTTAAGAGCAGTTCTTCCGTGCCTTAAAAACTACAAAGAACTCCAAAAGAAATTTACCCCTTGTAGCGCATTTCTTTCCACAATGCCAACTCTAAGACCTTTAGCACTCAAAGCCGTGGCTATGAAGATCCCCAGAGTTCCCCCACAAACTAGCACATCAAATTTCTCCACTTCCTTCCCGGCAAGATCAGAATCACTCGACAAACCAGGATTGGCCACAACTACCTTCTGAGGTTCTTGAGATACTGAAACAAAGAAACCTTCTCAAACGCTTGGAATTTTGAGGGGAAAAAACCAATGCTATCAAAATTTTACCTTTACCTGTTTGAGTTGAGCATATATTAGACCAAATTTGATCCAACCTCTTTAGAGCATTATATGAGTAAGCTCCACCAGCACCACCAACTTCACTAGTCACTGATATGCTCTCCATTATCCTCTACATTCAACACCAATTCCATCAAACTCCTTGAGAAGACCAATGGAAGAAATAAAGAAAATCCCCAAAGGCCACGCACTTCCACCGAGACATTTTCACAAACAGATTACGGAAGTTATAGTGACCATCATCACCTGGGTTCTAGAAGGAACAGCTTGTGCGACCAGAAGCTTACGCCTATGAGTTCTTCGAACCAAAGGGTTTGTGAGCCTGGGGTGCTGCTGGTACATTCCACTGCAGTGCTCAAGCTGAATCACCATCCCCATATTGGGATTAGAAGAAGTGAGGGGAAGAAACATAACTGAAGTAGATGCTACTATCTCCTTCGGGCAATTAGCAGCTGCCCAAGTTGCAGGTCTTGTTCATCCATCCATTAATCCAGAATGAAGCAACGATATTTAGCAACTTGCTTCCCCTGAATGTGTAGTATGTGTGTAAGAGAAGTGGACACGTAAAATGAAAGATCAAATCCCAAAACTCACTCGTTTTCCTCCGTACTACTCCCACATTCCTGAAAGTAGGGATGACAATGAATCGAGTTGGTTCGGATCTTACCAAATCAATGGATTTATATGTGAAAAAATTTTGGGTAAAATATATCGGAATGTGTAGTATGTGTGTAGTATGTGTGTAAGAGAAGTGGACACGTAAAATGAAAGATCAAATCCCAAAACTCACTCGTTTTCCTCCGTACTGCTTCCCCTGAATGTGTAGTATGTGTGTAAGAGAAGTGGACACGTAAAATGAAAGATCAAATCCCAAAACTCACTCGTTTTCCTCCGTACTACTCCCACATTCCTGAAAGTAGGGATGACAATGAATCGAGTTGGTTCGGATCTTACCAAATCAATGGATTTATATGTGAAAAAATTTTGGGTAAAATATATCGGATTTGAAAAATTCAAATCCAACTCAACTCGCTGAATATTCACAAGTTACTATCAAAATAAAAGTCAAATATCAATCTCTCAATATAAATTATCCATATATAAAATATCATTCAAGAGAATTCAAGCAAATCACATATTAACCATACAAATTGTTCAACACCAATCTAGAAAACTCAAGAAAATTGAAGCAAATCACAAATTATCGACAAACAACATGATTAATTGAAAACTTCTTCCTCCTTGTCAATTAAACTTCTTCACTCTCCACACCAATCTGACATGTCTTCATAAACATAAAGAAGATTAGTTATTTAGAATATTAAATATATCGGGAAAATTAATTATATGGATGTGGGCGAGTACCCATGGGGCAGGTTTATCTAAACCCACCCTAACCCGGTGAATAGTGAACAGGTTTAAACCCGAACCCGGCCCAAAACCCGTCAACATGGATTTTACCCGCGTTGACCGGATTGGGTCAGGTAGGATACCCGTGGGTTCAGGTTTTGTTGTCATCCCTACCTGGAAGATCCGTTACTGTTATTATCCGTTACAAAGAGCACGCTAAAATTTAGATATCAAGTTCTAGTAGGCCGATTACTTCGCCAAAAGAAGAAGAAGAAAAAAGATAGGTCTAGGCCCATTAGAAAATCGGGCCCAAGGGTAAGATCTTTTTAGAGAAGAAAAAGGGAAAGTAAGAGAGAGAAACGCTCTGACCTCTCTCTTCTTCTTTTTCCCGTTTCCGGCCGTTGAGCGATGGAACCCCATCTGAGGGGGTGGTTCCCGATCCAAAACCGCCGGATGGGTCCCCGGCGACAACGCCGGTCCAACCCAGCAAGAAGGCTAAAGCGACGACGAGTGAAGGGTTCTCAAGTGGAGGACGGATGGACTACGCGATTATGAGAGCCACGGAAGAGGAGCCAGATTCGGAAATGGAGGGGGCTGAATTGAATCAACCCAGCAACAAGGAAGCAGAGGAACACAGGGATAATCACTTCAACAGAGCCTCCTACAAGGACTCTGTGCTGGGAAATGGTCCCCAACCAGACTTCCCCCACGGTGACGATCTCATGTCCGCTGAGTCAGACGGCAAAGATGGGGAGGACGACCCACTGTGCCCAACTATCAGAATCAAGAAGAGCACGGATGCTAGGGTTCGCCATAAATGGAACATAGCAATTACTTTCAGGATTCTTGGTAGCAGCCTCCCATTTGCGTTTATCCACAGGAAAGTCCACAAAATGTGGGCGAAGACGGGGCTGTTAAAATCGGTGACATAGGTAATGGGTACTATCAGGCGATTTTTGGCTCTCAGCTTGACTATGATAGAGCCCTCTATGGGGGACCTTAGACGGTCGATGAGCAATACATTGCAGCGGAGCCGTGGAGACTGAATTTTGATCCAGATTATGATGTCATCAACAAAACTATGGTTTGGGTTCGTCTTCCACGACTGCCATTAGCTTACTTTGATGAAGAAATTCTTGAGAGTATTGGCAGCAGGATAGACAGGGTGGTGAAGATTGACTACAACATGTCAAATGGGTTTCGAGGGAACTATGCCAGGATTTGTGTGGAAATAGACCTCGGGAAAAGACTGCTGACAAAGTACAGGTTGAAGAGGAGAGTCAGAAGAGTGGAGTACGAGGGGCTAGACACAGTTTGCTACGAGTGTGGCCTTTATGGTCACCTGGAGGGCAAATGCCCCAGCTCGGAGAAGAGGGCAATCGTCACGACTGAACAGCAAAACATGAGCACGGACCCCCTAGTGTAGGAGAATGAAATCAGACCAGAAGTGTTGGAAGACTTTGGACCATGGAGGATAGCCTCAAGGCCAAAGAGAAGAATAAACCCTAAATGGGTTGCAGCAAAGAAAGGTGAACCAGGGAGATTTGAAGCTACATTGACGAAACAACAAGATGGATCCAGATTTAGTGTGCTTGAGAAAGAACAAATAGTGATGGAACATGTTGAAAATGCAAGCGAGGATAATGCCCCAATGTCATAGAAGGTTCAAGCAGAAGGAAGCAGTGAAGCAACAGAAGATAAGAAGGGACAGAGTAATGATGGCGCGAAGATGAAGTGTTGGAGAAAGAAAGTCAACACAAGAAAGATAAACAGAAAAAAGCAACACCTGGGAAAGAAGTTGGCAGGAAGGAAAACCAGAAAACTTCACCAATGATTGTGTTACCCTGGTTTGGGGCAAGGGAAGTCCTTTATTATCTCTTATGATTAGAGCACTTTCCTGGAACTGTCGTGGTTCCAAACACCCGAAATTTCACTCAACAGTAGAGTTTTATAAGAAAATGTATGAGCCAACTATCATGTGTATTCTGGAACCTAGAATCAGTGGGGAAGAGGCTTTAAAAGTGTTCAAATCCTTAGGATTTGACTCATGGGAAGTGTCTGATGGTAGTGGTTTTAGTGGTGGTATTTAGGTCTTATGGAATAAAGATCAGATCTTTTTGGAGTTGCTAGATTGTTAGAGACAATTCATCAACCTCAGATGTTGGGAGGGACACAAAGAGGTCTGCCAGATTACAGTTGTTTATGCTAGCCCAAATGAGCATAACAGAGGGGTGCTTTGGGAAGCCATTGGTAGAATTCATAGGAGAACAAAAATCCCGTAGGTTCTGCTTGGTGATTTCAACTCCATCTCTAACTCCTCAGAAAAGCAAGGGGGGGCACCTTTCAACTTTGGTAGGGTGAAAGCTTTTAACAAGTACTTGGATGATAATGGCTTGCTTGACCTGGGGTTCAGTGGACCCAAGTTTAAATGGTTCACAAAGAAGTCTAGGCTCAAGGAACTTCTTGATCGATGCATTTGCAATGTTGAGTGGCTGCAAGCTTTCCCAAGCTCGTCCAACCTTCACCTTCCCAAGTTGAAGCCTGACCATTGACCAATTCTTTTGAGCTGTGAAGGCCCTATGGACAAGCGTAAATTGGTGAGGAGATTCCAATTTTTGGCTCCTTGGATTGCTCACAAAGATTTTTTTTCCTTTCCTTGATAATGCTTGGGTTCGTGATATTGCTTCTGTCTTCCCTTGCAGGTTGCAGCAGCTCTATAATAAGCTCAAGATTTGGAATAGAGAGGTTTTTGGCAACATTTTTAAAAGGAAAAAGAGCCTGTGGCAGAGACTCCAAGCACTGGAGGACAATAATGAGAAGTCACCTAGTGTCCAATCCAGAATTCAAGAAAACAAAGTAAGAGAAGAACTGGAAGAAACCCTGTGGCAAGAGAAAGTGCTCTGGCTTCAAAAATCTCGCCCTAACTGGATCATCCAGGGAGACCAGAACACAAGGTTCTTCCACAATAGCACCCTCAGCGGAAGAAGAAGGAATAGAATCATTGGACTGAATGGCGAGGAGGGAAACTGGATAACAGATCCAGTAGTGCTGCAAACCATGGCAAGAGATCACTTTGTCAGGTTGTACAACAAGGAAGGGAATGACCTCAATCATTCTATCCCAGCTAACTTCCCAGCAGTTGAGGAAGAAGAAGCCACCAGAATGTGCACTCCGCCAAGCATGGATGAGATCGGAGCGGTTGTGAGGAACATGAATGGCCTCAAGGCACCAGACAAAGATCGCTACCATGCCATCTTTTTCCAGAAATGCTGGGGCTATATTGGGGGGAGAGACCTCTCTAACTTTATCTCTTCTTGCTTCCTTGTTCATTCAAATATCAGATTGATTAACCAAACTATGCTTACCCTCATTCCTAAGACTGAGTCCCCTACTTCTATGAACCAGTTTAGGCCTATTAGTCTATGCAATGTGGGATATAAAATTGTTGCTAAATGCCTTGCTAACAAGCTTAAGGGTATGATGCCCTCCCTTGTGCATCAGAACCAGTCAAGCTTTGTTTCCAATAGGCATATTACTCACAATATCCTTATTTTGCAGGAGACGGTTCACTCCATGGCAAGAAAGACTAGAAAGAAAGGAGCAATGCTTTTAAAAGTGGATCTTGCCAAGGCCTATGATAGAATTGACTGAAACTTCTTGGAACAAACACTTCACAGTGCAGGACTTCCAGGAACCTTTGTCAGAATGGTGATGGAGTGTGTCACAACCACTGAGATGCAAGTTTTGTGTAATGGAGGGGAAACTGAGAGCTTCAAACCAGCTAGAGGCCTTCGTTAGGGATGCTCCATATCCCCTTACTTATTTACTCTTTGTGTTGAAAGACTTAGCCACTGCATTTTCCATGAAGTGAATATTAGAAACTGGAAACATGTTAAGTTTTCAGCTCATGATCCTGCCCTTTCTCATTTATTCTTTGCTGATGACTTAATTTTTTTTGCAAAGGCTTCATGTATGAAAGCTGAAGTGGTTCTAAGATGCTTAAGAGTCCTTCTGTCTTGCATCAGGGGAGCTTGTTAGTAAAGAGAAATCTAGGGTCTTCTTCTCTAAGAATGTTAGCTATAGTGATAGGCATAACATTTGTGTCAAACTGGGAATCCAATCTACCCCAGGCCTAGGAAAGTACCTTGGGGTCCCTGTTTTGCATTGTAGACTGTCCAGAAATACTTATAGGAACATCCTTGAAAGGACGGATAGGAAGCTTTCTTCGTGGAAAGCAAGATATCTCTCCTTGGCAGGGAGGGTGATCCTTGCTACCTTTGTCCTTAATTCCACTCCCTCAT